TTTTAATTATAGATTTATATTTGTATTAACAATTTTTGTGTACTTTTACGGATGTTTTCAAGTATAACCGGGAATAAATCAAACGCTATTTAAAGTTAACATGTCGTCGAGATAATTTTCTTTCATTGTCCATAGATGTAGAAATATAGTCAGAAATTCCTCTATATACCTTTTTTTCCAGGCACTGTATATCCTTTCTCTACTTCTTTTTAAAAGCTATACCGTTCCTTTAATTTGATAAAATAAATGGTTTTCGAGATAAATATGTTTTTGAAATGAGCAATAAATAGAATTATTTTTTTTTATAGTCTTTCCGATCTCAATTGAAGATCAAAGAGCTTGGCGATATGTACCAGGTTCGGTCGCTACGCAACAACTCGGCATTGAAATATTTGAAAAACTTGTTCCCATATTTATTTAGCCATACCCATATGGTCGCCCAGTTGAAGAATGCGCACGCCGACAAACGGCAAACAAACACAGCCGGACTGGGCGACCAGCCATAAATTTCAGTTGTTGACAAATGGCGTAAAAAGGAAGCGAAAACAAAAATTTTAAAATATCGATGACATGACAAGAGATGTAATTCGGAGTACAATTTATAATTTATATAAAGAAAATTGTGGACGTTAATAATTGAAATATGTTGTTGGGCAAATTAACATAATAAAAATTTTCTACACATTATATACAAATTTTTATTATTTTTTTACCCTTAGCAGAAAACTTTTTTTAGGGACGCCCATGAATCTCATTAAATTTTATTGCTAGGCGTTTTTATACACGTTCAACTGACTTCGGAAAGACTATACAAATTGTTTCATGTGGGTATTTAGTGTATTTAACTTTACCAAAGTCCTGTGATAAAGTTGATCATAGCTTAAGAGAAACATGTTAAAATATTGTCTGAAGTTATTTATTTATCTGTGGCATGGTTTTCGTTTTTTTTTATTTTTTGGATATTTTACGACCTATGAAAAAATTTTAAAAAATTAGTTAAAGAAACCCTTGCGCAATATAGATCAGACAAGGGTTATTTTTATGAAAATAGTTTTGCCTAACCAAAACATCTCACGCTGAAAAAAGCAGACAAATGGAAAATACAAAACAAAAACACATCACTTCATATCGCGCACTTTAAAAAAGTCGTTAAGGTTTCGAAAATCCACTGTTTTAGTCTTCTAAACTTTTTTTGACTTTTCGTTTTAATAGCTTTGACAGTTGGCGCAATGGTTCATTTTAATTTTTAATTTTTTTTGACAGGTGGCAAAATACTCAAAAAATAAAAAAAAACGTTAAAAATTAAAAATAAACATTTGACAATAAAAATAGAGAACGGTATATATCATTTCGACAAGTGTTCAAAGTCGCCTATCCCTATAATTTTTTTTTATACAAATTTTTCCTCCTGCACAAAAAATAATGTATCTACTTATTTTACCAAAACTAAACATCAGTACTTTTCTCTAATAATCTAGAAGCAATAGTGTTAAATTAAAAAAAAGAGATAAAATTAAATAAGTTGGGGATTTAAATAATACTGATAAATAGGTGTCCAGATGTCCTAAGTCTAATTGTAAGATGAAGGACTTTGAAGATAACCACAAAAAACTTTTAAAAGCGCATATTTATAAAATGATCTTCCTTAATATAAATTGATGTAAGAACAATTTGGAAGAGAACAATTTTTCAAAGATTGGGACCGAAATAAACATGAACTTCATTTATTTATCTATTATCTACATTTTTGATTTCCAGATATACGCTTTCTTAAGGTCTGTTTAATAAAAGATTATTCTATGTACTTCACAAACTAAACTATGCAGATTTACCTGACGAGCAGGAGCAAAACCGCCTAGTTTGCACAAGTCTTTGTCGGGTTGTTACGTCTCTACGATTTATCGTTGTGCGTGTAGGTGGCAAAAGACGTTATTTGTTATATATCTGAAAGGAGCTTTAAACACGTAGAGCGTGATATCGCAACCGTAAAAAATAATTGTGTAGAAACAACACCGCTACATAATAATCATTATCGTTATTTGCGTTAAGGCTAATTCGTGGAAAGCGATAACTTTTCAATGGATATACGGCTTATCGGTACGTACACGTATTAATTACAGTGAAACGTAGGCATATACATGGACAAATCATATTACTTCTGCCACATCATACGTCAGGCAGATAAGAGTAGGTACCTAAACAATTTGTGCGGTTGAACTGCTAGCATATGTGACAGTCCCACCGCAAGAAGCACAAGAACATGGAGGACGGTGGAAACGGCACCGATGAAAAAGTGATTAAGATAAAAGTTACCATGAGATCTGGCGCTTTAAACGAGGTAACATTCTAACCTTGATTTCTAACAGTGTTTCATATGTGGTTTTATTGCACGGTTTCCGTCCGGCAAGCAAACGGTCTCAAGACATCCATCCTTGTGTATTAAAAAGAGGTTAATTTTATTGACACTGTCTCGAGTATTTGGTTTCAGATTATAACGGCAATAGCTTTTAATTGTGATTGTTTATTTTCATAGACAGAAATAATAAATAAGTATATCGAGGCGCCAGGAAAAATATACACTCGCCTGTAGGTATCTAGTTTTATGCCAAACTTCCTAAATAAATATTAAAATTTATAGCATGGTTTTATATTTTTGTGAATTGATAGGAGAAACTTTCCATATGTGCATGGGAAATCATTTTATTCGGAATATTGTTATAATTGATTTTGAATTATTAACATGATTTCCTTATTTTTTAATCATCGGTACTATTTACCTAAATATACAGGGTGTCAGGAAGTGAATCAATATACTTCAAGGGTATTTTGGGTGAAAATAAACTGATTTAGATCAAGTTATTTTAACATAATTTTCCCTTAAAAGTCCTAAAAATATTTTTATTTAATCTTTGTTATTTCTGAATACATTTTAATGAGGTTTTGAGAAAACATATGTTTCTGAAATGTCACTTTATTGGCTTTAGAAGGAAGGATATTGTTGTATGTCATTAAAATGCACTGTTCCAATGAAAAATGTATTTGATTTCTTACTGCAATCATCAGTTATGGTCTGCTGAATACTAAACTTACTACCTACCAAATTTGCAAACAAATCGTCTTTTACGATTAAAACCAACATATTCTCATTCAGATATAGACAGACTTTGCAGTACTACATGCTTTATCACAGGAAATACCATAATGTTACAAAAGCACACGAATGAAGTCTAACTGAATTAGAATACTACCAAATCCCTTAAAAAAAATTAAATTTACTCTGGAACGGTAAGTTTTAGAGACATGTAACAAGTATTCCTATTTTAAATTAAATATTGTTCCAAAAAACATTTACATATTTTTCAAACCTGTTCAGGCAGAACAAAATATAGCAAAAAACATAATTGCATAGTTTTGTTAGTGGTGCTATGCAAAAAATAAGCTCATAAGGTACTAAAAAAGCTGTTTTCCATATTTTTAATCTATCTTATAAATAGCTTCTTTTTCAACACGCTCTTAAATACTCCACATACTTCTATCCTATACTGATCATTTTGCAATTGACTTGAAGCCGAAAAGTGGGGCGACGTACCGGCGTATTCATACGCATGCGTTTACTTTACGGGTTTTGATTGGTTGAAAGGAACCGAGAACGGTGAGCGCCGAGCGGTAAAAAAGTCAAACGTCAAACCAAGCTAACCTAAAAAATATTAATATTCTCAGTTTTGTTTTGTGTTGAAACTGTTTGGGTATAGTGTATATTTTAATAAATAAATAAATAAATGTATCTTTTCAGTTTTATTTCATAATCTGTTTAAACCTGCACTAATGCTTCTATTAATTTATCTTGTGTTGATATTTAGTAAAAATGTTTCAAAATTATACTCGATAAGAGCCTTAATCGTGATGGACATTATTATCGGATTGGTCTTTTACAGATATTTTATAGCATGTTTTTTTATATTATCAAATAAACTGCAGAAACCACTAATAAATAATTATATAATAAACATTTTTTTATTAAAAAAAAAAATTGTCAGTTGTGGCGATTTTTTGAAATACTTAGTCTTGTTTAATAAATACACCAATGTCATTTAAAAAAATGTCCAAAATTACGAACATGCCTATGTACATAGTTTTAAAAGCATATAAATTTGTATTTTATTTTATTTGAGCCTGCAAAATATTAAATAGGTTATGCAGATACTTACGTTATTTATTGAAATTAATAAATAGTAAAAAATAAATAGTAAAATAATGTGTTAGATAAGGAGCCTATCGATAGAGGACTCATATAAGAAAATGGTAGAAAAGTAAACATTTAGAAATTGAAGTGAACTCAGTGAAAATAGATTTAATATCTCATATGTATACAATAAAGCGGCTATAGTACAGAGCATGCCGTGACTGTCTTTTAAATTTAAATGCAACCGCGCCTAATTATGGAACATGCGCAAAACACACAGAGTACGTCTCGCCCCCACTTTTTGGAAACAAGGTCATCCATTGAAACTATAGGTAATGATCAGTATAGGATAGAAGTATGTGAAATACTCTAACTAAAGTGAAACTAAAATTAAATTTTTTATAAGTCTTCAGTATTAAAAGAGTCGATCCCACATTGGTATTTTCCTGACGCTTGGATTAAGAGAAAAACATGAGATATAACTAAAAATAATGCATTCCAGAACTAACTATAAGGTAATCAGAAGAACAGCCTTTTTCAATTTAGGTAAAATGTATTAGGTTAATTCAAATAATTTTTCTAAATATGAATTAGTTTCATACATTTAAAAGAAGACGAGCTAATTTATAATAACATTTAATCATATATATATATAAATTTGGAAGAATATATTTTTCAAAACGTACACGAAGTGAAAATACACCTAATTTTGTTTGAAAATCTAGTTGTATAACTGGTTGTCTATCTTCAAGATACGATATCATTAGAAGAAAATATCATATTTCTAGTTTACTAAAACCAACTTCTTTTATTGCAGGCTGCTGGCCCGGGTAACGGCACAAGCCAATCTCAACAGTTCTACCCGGGGTTGCCAACGGGGTTTCCCCCTCAACATTTCCATTCCAATATCCAACCGGGGCCTCCGGTGCCCAGTCCAACGCACTTAGGACACTCGTCACCACCCAATCCAACGTACTACAAGGACGAAAGAACGCAGAAGCAGCACATCAAACTCAAAAAGAAATTACATGAAAAACAGCAGAAGACCGACACTCTGTTGCCTAGAAAGGAATTAGTCAATGGTTTGAAAAGATCCGGGATCAAGGAGAAAGGGATGAATAGTGTGGGTACCAGCGAAGATGGGGAAGAGAGTAGTGTTCCAGATGAGGAAGATTCATTCCAGATCATTACTGATATTTTATCGTCCGTCCAGGCACCTAAGGTAGATAAGCTTATAAGTATCTCTTAGTACATATTTAATATTTAAAATGTTCCTTAATTTGATTATAAAACTTGTACAAGTAGTTCCTTGGACAAAAATAACAAAAAGTTCGAATGAACAGAGGTCAGTTCTAATTTCTTAAGTAAATATAACAATTTTTTAAGAAACCTTTATAAAGAGTCATTCCGATAACCACAAACTGCTGGGACCAAAATAAGGTGGTACAGAACACATTAAAATAGAATTTTCAAAATTGTTCTTCATTAATATTCTCCATGATTTTGAAGATATTATCTTCAAAAGTAATATAAATGTTATTTATTTCTCTCCAACTTATTTTGTAGGTATAGTAGAACCTCGATAATCCAAACCCCTGTAATCCGAACGCTCGATAATCCGAACGCCGTTTTGGGAGAAATAAAAATAGTATGTAATCAGAATCGCTCTCTAACTGCTACGGAGAGCATCACCGTAGTAAACATTGCATCGTGTGTGTTGTTATTGTGCCCTGTGTTGGTTTTTGCCTTGGAAATAGTATGTCAGTGTTTATTTTTTGCATGCTACTATGCCTGGAAACCACTTTGTTTGGTAATCCGAACGATTCGATAGTCCGAACCACCCCCGGTCCCAATTAGTTCAGATTATCGAGGTTCTACTGTATGATTTTTTTTGTTTGGAATTTTCAGATATACAATTTCTTATAGACTATTTTTCCCCCTTAGAAACTTTTCATTTATTGCAGTCTTATACCTTTGATTGCATACCACTTTTTAAGGCTTAACATAAAGGCTGTGGTTCACTTGATATAGTTACACTGAATACAAGAACATAACGTGTAATTTGAGACTTCAATAAGAATTTTTAAATCCTATAAAATGTGCAAAAGCATACACATTCTTTTAGCAAAGAGCGTGTTAAATATATCTAATAGTTACAAATGCAACAGCATTGAAATAGTTGTCAACATGTTATTGCAACCAAAATTATGTAAATACCTATAAAGGTTCCATGTTAATATGTAATAACAGTATAGTCTTTTCATGAATGCACATCTAAACTCCATTTATTAGAAAAAAATCTTAATATTTTGAGAGACATCTTTCTGCCAAAGTTCGTTAGCTATGGTAAAATTTAAAAAATATTTTATTTTATTAAGAAACCGTATCTATTGACAGAAACTACCATTAATCCTTCATTGTAAATGTCTATTCATTTTTCCAGACAAAAAAATCCATAAACTCAAAAAGTTTGATGTACCTGTAGCTGCTTGAGCTAGTTTAAGACATTAAACAAATATTGTCGACAAATGATAACTTTTACTATTATTACTTACTTTTATTATGAGTACAAACTATTTGTAAGAAATCAGAATTGATCTCTATAGTAGGATCATATTCGATGCAAAATAATAAATCATTGCCTGTCAAGGGATCCAATACAGTACGCTTTTAAGGGTTTTAGAAATTGAATAATTTCTCTATACATTATGAAGGGACGAGGGGATCAGTTCAGGTATGGCACCCTTGTTCCTACAAAAATTCCTTTATTCTCATAAACTATTTATTTTAAATGTAATTTATTATAAAACCAATTTGTTCTTTAAATTCCACATATGTACTGCATTTTACCTCTGTACGCTCCACTGTTGTTTACTTGTTTCTTGGAGGTGCTCTCTGATTTACAACCAAGCTCGCCAGGTTAGTATTTGACGTATAACCAACCACTTCGTACACTCAATCCACCTGGGCAACTAGAGCTACTACCAGAACACAGTGCTTATGCAGCGGTATTTCAGATTTTACATTCAATTTCATTTTAAATTTGAAATGGTTCATCTTACGCCTCCTAAAAATGGTGACACGATTTTCCTTTAATAAAAGACCCGACAACTTTTTGCTCTACTTTGCATCGAATACGATCCTACTATAGTTGATTTGAGCTTCTTGTCTTAACTTTGAATAAGGAACATCTTGTAGAAGTTGAATAAGGGACATCTTGCATACTCATCTATCAGACCATACAATGTGTAATGAAGTAGCAATTTGAATACTAATGTTTTTTTCTGTTTAGGTGTCTGAACTGAGTTCCCGTAGTGCCTTATTGCAGTGGGCACCGCCCATTCGATTATCAGAATCAGCCAGCAACGATAGCCATGAAATTGATATTTCTGAATCAGACTTAAGATACGAGGTACTGCTCAGTGATAAAAGTAAGGAAATGAAATTCAAGTCAATATACAGTGGTGCTTCACTGTCCTGTCGAATCCAAGACTTAAAACCAGGCCAAGAATATTCGGTTTGCCTTCAGGTGCATTTAGACGAATTGCAAGGTTCTGCGACAGACCCTATTAAATTTATTACTCCCCCCTGTGAACCGGATCAACCCCAGTCCCCGAAATTGATTCACAGAACGAAAAATTCACTTCAGCTTAGATGGAATGCCGTAAACGACAATGGCTCACACATACTGCATTACATATTAGAGTATGATGACGGTAGAGGTGAATTTGTAGAATTTTATAAAGGTAGAGGAAAAACTCACACTTTACAAAAATTACTACCGGCAACCTCGTACAATTTTAGATTAGCCGTTGTCAACGAAGTAGGCAAAAGCTTGTACTCAGACCCCATTTCTTATTCAACGTACGATAACCCACCAACACAGCCCAACCCTCCTGCATTAATCGAGGCCACGGTGCAATCCCTTCATTTACAATGGAATCGACGGCCTAAAGATGACGAGTTTGTTTTACAAATGAACGATCCCAAGACAAAATACGGCCACATGACTGTTTACAATGGCAGGGAGAACTACCATATCTGTAGAGGATTGACTTGCTTTAGTGATTATACTTTTAGACTACGTGCAAGAAACGATGACGGCATATCTCCATGGTCTGAAGAAGTAACTTATCGCACACTCCCCGACAGGCCAGCAAGGCCTTCCAAGCCTATAGTGAAAGGTAGAATACATGCACATTCTTTTAAACTTAAATGGGAGCCTCCAAGTGACACTGGAGGAGCAGAGATAACTAGGTATATTTTAGAGGTGAATTCCGGTAGTGGTTACGAAACCGTTTACTCTGGTATTGAAACGGAAGCAGTCTGTGATAAATTGACCCCCGGCACGACCTACCAATTGCGGGTGAGTTGCATTAGTGCCGGGGGTTGTAGCAATTACTCTGATCCTTGCACTGTTACAACGGACGCTATAAGCCCAGGCCAGTGTGCTGCACCACGACTCCATGGAAAGCCTAAGTCCAATAGTATAACCATCCGATGGATAGAACCAGATTACAACGGCGGAGCTCCTGTTCTAGACTATGAAATAGAAATGGTTTCTCCTGACTCTAGTCGAAGCATAGTCCATAAAAGCAAAGAAATGGAGTGCACAGTCACAAATCTTAGTCCAGGATGTGATTATTACTTCACAGTAAGAGCTGTTAATCGAATAGGCCCAGGCGTTTGGTCGGAACCTTTGAAGGTCACTAGTGGGGCAGCTCCTCCAGCTGCACCCGAAATTCCAACACTTCACTGCAAATCTCCATTCCATATATACGTTGAGTGGCAGGAGCCTCCATGTAATGGAGCTGCTATCACTGAATATAGACTAGAGATGAGTCCTGAGCTCGGAGAGGATAAATTTTATAGTGTCTACCAAGGTCATCAAATGAATTATGACATCAAAGGTCTAAATCCTTTTCATACATACTATTTCAGAGTGCAAGCAAGTAATAGTGCTGGGTATAGTTTATATTCTCCTGTAGCTGCCACTTTAACTCCAGCCGCACCACCCTCCACAGTTACAACATTAAGAAGCGAATCGACTCCTACATCAATTATTCTATATTGGAACCATCCTGCTGACAACGGATCTGATATAATACATTATAATATCGAGATAGGTGATAAAACAATATCGACAGAGTCTCCATTAAACGAATATACCCTAGAAAACCTTCAACCCGATACTCTCTACAAAATCAAAATTCAAGCAGTGAATGGTGTAGCCCCTGGCTCCTTTTCTTCAACATTAAGAACATCAACCTTAAGACTACCGCCGGCTGCTCCGAAATTAGAATGCGTTGGAGTAGGCCATAACTATCTCAAGTTGAAATGGGGCGAGGGTAAAAACACCGATTATATTCAGTATTGTGTAGAAATGGAAAATACACGGTCTAGGGAATTCCAATGTGTTTATAAAGGTACTGCCCTTACCTGCAAGGTCAACAAACTGCATGAAGTTACAACTTATAAATTTAAAATTAATGCATCTAACGATGCTGGAGTGGGAGATTTTTCAAGAGAATATGAATTTACTACCAGCATTGCGCCGCCAACTGCTCTTAAGATTCCTAAACTTGTTGAAGTGGAACAAAAAATTTGTACACTGGAATGGTTGCCAGCTAGGAACGTATTTACCGATCCCATAGTTTACCAAGTTCAGTTAACTCGGCTGAAGGACCAAACATTTAGACAGGTGAGTTAGAAGATGAGCAATTCTTTAAATTAATTTACCACAAATATGCCTGCCAAAATTACATTCACAGAGTAAAAATATATATTTTTATATCAGTTTAGTGATGAAAACAATAAAAGTATTTGGTCAAAAAATGCAATGTTTCAAATAGTATTAATTTTGTTGATATAAATATCCAAATTTTTACATTCAAATTAATTGGATTAATAACAAAAAAACATTTATAAAAAATTATGTATCTACTTCCGTTTATTAAATTTTTAATAAAACTCGGCAACCTGTCACCTTGTTTTTAATAACCTGAAGGTCAACTTTTTGCTATTATGAAATCATTATTGTGTAATTATAATATACCTAATATCAACTCTGCAAATCATTTAAAGTATACGTCCAGTAATCACTAGTGACACAGTGCTCATTTCTTTAATATTAAACATATTATAACATCTGGCGATAATAGAACAAGTGAATATCAATCACACTTCAGTCTTTAGATGTACGTACATTGGCAATAAAACTTTGGTAAAGAAAGTGGTGCCATAACGTGCAGACGTAATATGATGGTAAATGATCTCAAAAAAAAAAAACCTTCTTATAAACATAAATGAATGTAAAAATGCATCAAAAGTAATTTTAATGATAATCAAAAATGTTGCTTCTCAACCGTACTGTTTACCATTAAAATGTTAACATATTACAGCTGCTATATTATAACAACACTGCTTCTCTAGGAAACCAAATGTTAATGGTTTGGCAACAATTTAATCTTTGACCACAATCAAACTTCACCGGGCATATTTCTTGTGTTTGCACTGTTACCTTTTATGTGGCAAAAGCTTAGTGTTTTGGTTAATGTTGAATTGTGTGCAGAACTAATCACAAACAATTTCTTAGAAGGTAATCTTTTAAAAATAATGACTACTGATACTAAACGATAATACAAATACCTTAGCGATACAAAATGACCAACAATCGAGATCCCGCAGCTTGTGTCTACAATATTTTATAGCATTATTTACTTTGTATTTCTATTACAAGCACATCTATTTCACAAAAGTAATAGATTTCCGTATTTAAGGGTATAAAAAACCCAACAGAAACCAGACAATAACAATTTTACTGTGGTAGCTTCCTGAGAGAATGTAGAAGTTCTTACGTGTTTTTGTTGGAAATTTTAAACTTTAGATCTTATCACCAGATTTCAAGAAAAGTAGTCATTATTTCCCAGTTGGAAAGACATTTTACAAATTCCTTTAATAGGATTGAATAGTTTGGATTTTTGTATTATCATAGAGAATCTAAGAGTTTGTACAATAATGAATTTGCATTAGAGGTCTTAATAAAGGCATTTCGTCTATTTGCAAATTTTCAATTACTAATTGACGACAGTTCAGCTACAACGCATATTCATATTCCAAAATTGGTTTACAAATTGTTTTATGTAGTATTATAGGTGCCTTAAATTTGGATATCTATTTATTTTTAAAAGTATTTTAAGTGTTTGGATTTTTATGAGATCAAATGCAATCCAAGATATTTGACATCCCTTGGTACATGATTAAATATTATGAATAGAGATATAATGACATTAGGAGCAGCCTCCATTTGATTAACCTGTATTTAGAATTAGAAGTGAATGAGTTTGAATTAGTGACAGAAAGGTTCAAATTTTTATCATGGGCTATGAGTGCAGTGTAATCTGTACTGCAAAATGTCTGTTGTATTTTCATATAAGTGTTGAGGTATCTGAAAATCATGGCTGTAAATGTTGTATATTTTTTTCAATTTTCAAGGAAACTTAGATGTACTATATTGTCAGGCATCTCTAAAACTGGCAAGTTAGGAATTTGGTGTTGTACTATTCCATTTAGTTTTTTTTTTGGTTAATTTTCCCGACAGCTTGCCAATTGTAGGCAACAAAATAACAGGTCTATAATTGTGTGGATTTGTACTACACATATACAGAATACACAATATATATACCTACATATACACAGTACGTTGTTGCTTATTCAAAATGCTTGTCTGTCCTGTTAATAAAAAATAAGTGTTACTGATTTTGAAACAATACTGGGTCAGGTGATGACATTATCAGATATAGTAGCAAAATATAACCATAAGTCAACTGTAACCGTTAATAACAGTATTTCAATTTATATAAAACGAGATGAAATTGAAAATAAAAAAAATGCGATGCAAAGAATAAAAATAAAACAAGTCAGAGAAATACAATTACCAAAACAACAAAGGAAGTACATTAAGAAAATAAGATGATGTTAAACACCATCATATTTTCTTCATGTGGTGAGCATGTAAAAGGTGTGGTGTGTTCTGAAAATACAAATATATTTTATTGTTCCTCCTCCATTAATTAAATGTATTTTAAATTATGATAATTTATTTGCCTTATTTGACAAACATTTACACAAGTTTTGTAAGCAACATTATACAAATAAAAAATTTATCTTCACGATCGTTCGTTGCGAAATGCAGTTTTTTTATAAAACTGCAATATATAAATTTATCTGATAAAAAAATTATAATTTTGCAAAATATACAGAGTTGAAGAAATATCAACCAAGTATAAAAATTTGTATCTGACAAAGCCAGTAAGATGAACATGATACTTTCCTTAATCTGAGTTTTTAGTACATTTACCTTACAGTAAGCTATTGTTTACTTAACTTCAGTACAATAAACAAAATATCTAAAATTTTATTTTGTAGGTATACAAAGGACCTGAATCCAAATGTGTAATCGAAGATTTGGAGCCAGGTACAGAATACCAGGCTAGAGTGTGTCCAATAAGAGTGACGATGACGGGAGAACTTCCTGGGCCCTATTCCCCAACCATCAACTTTTCCACTCTGGCAGCGGAACCTACTGCCGTGTTGAAACTGGCCTCACCTAGCACTAGCTCACCTTCGCATATGCATAAAGGCCGTACTCTCTATCATTCCTTGTGGCAAATGTTCACAGTTAAACAATTTCCTGATGAATACTGCACTTATGTGTACGTGATTCTAGTAATGTTAATTGGAATAGTCATATCTTTGGGTATCGCAGCATTTTTGTAAGTGTAATCAGTGTGTCTGCTTGAAGCTCACTAAAGACTTGCAGTGTTAGTCGGCCTGAGAGACTGGCTTAACAAGAAATCCTTAAGATTCTTAAGTATTATTAAACAGGGCTTTTTATTATAAATTATATTAATTAGAGGACCAAAGCGTCATGTTTTGGTATTTTTATACATGTCTCCGTACTCGGCGTGGTGCTATCCAATTAATTAAAGATGTGATTGTTCAGCGACGGATTGTCGTAACTGACCTATGGTTTGCTACTATGTGTGTTGTTATTCCAGTCATATGTACATTTATATATATTATATATATCATATGTGGTTGGCGGTATTATTAAATTATTATAATTAAATCAATTATTAAGTGGCTGGAAAGTATGTACCTATAGACAAAATATGAAATCTTTGTATTGCAATTGTATAGGTTGAAAAATCATTTATTATATTATATACCTAAATCTAATGTTAATCTATTATGATCTAATCAATATTATTTTAGAGTTGGCTATACTGGGATGTGTATATGTGCGCTTTGCACTATCAAGAGATATATTAATATATTATAGGTATAAATACATATATTATAAATAAATCAATTATATTTTATGTACTAGTATGTTGCGTTTTTTATCTCTTCCCCAACATCATTTTATTATTTAAAACCTGCAAAAATTTGTATATATAATTACAAATTTTTTATAATTGACTGATAAAATATAAACAGATGTTAAACTTTTTGTAAAATTTTCATTATTTTTTAAATTTCAGCAGTATTTTGAAAAATGGAATGTCAATGATGAATTAAAATTTAAATAAGTATAACTATGAAGAAAACTGAAGAGAACAATTATTTACTAGGTAGGCAGGGAACCGCTAAATCGAATGTGACGATCTAAAACATTTTTAGGATGAACTACTTGAATACTGTACAGATCACTATAATTTTTGTTATGTAACAATTTGCAGTTCTCTTCGAATTTCATGTTGGTTGTTTACTCATAAATTAAATCGCATCTATTGTTACTTCCGTTTTAAAACGTTTTGCATGCCAATTGTAAAAACACTCAAATTGGATATACTTTGAATTTCTTCCAATTAATATTGTAGATCTAATAAAACAGTTTTTAATTATTAAATATTAGATTTATAAAATTCAGATAAATAGAATTGAAAACCCTTAGCTAAAAGTTATATTTCCATCCCTTATTATTTAAGCCGACAGTATAAGATATACTGCATACTGAGTGTAAAAGTGCAATTCGATAATGCTCTAATATTACTTATCAAACAGATTGAAATTATACCCCCAAAATATCTAGAAAGCTGGTTTAGTTCATCCTAAAAATGTTTTGGCGCTGCAGTCGTTTGATTTAGTGGGTATTCTCCCACTCTTTGAAATTTCAGTGTATAATAGATCCCTTGTGCATCAACTGAATTTTCTGAAGAATATGAACGTCGCCTGACTGTTTTCTATCTGTTTATTATGAAAAATATTTTATATAATTTAATTTTTTATACTGCAATTTAAGGTGGTTTACTGTTATTAAAAATTTTCATCTCATAAAAATGGTGTGATTTCTTCAGTTTTGGATACAGAAAACAATGTCACAGGTCACAGTTAAGTACGAAGAGTAAACCGAGCGAGGCAATTAACAAGTTGTAATATGGCTCAGGTTTCATTAAGTTACAGCATGATGGTCAACCTTATTCATTTCAATAAGAAAGAAAAGTATTGTATAAATTAACATAACAGCATATTCACTGTTTGATTGACCGACTAAATTGAAACTTATGTAGTTATAAGAACTCCATAATGTGCCATATAAATATTTAAAATATAACCACTGCTTCTGGCCTGCTATGGCAAATAGTGATGTCAATATTGTAATTATTCGTTACTTTTTATCCGTTACTTGAATAAGTAACGAATATTGAGTATTCGATGAGAAAAGTATTCGATACTGATACTTTTTAAGTTTCGATACATGTAATCACGATAATTGGTAATATTCGGACTCGGTTCAGAATATTTACTGAACGTGTAGATTTCAGATTTGGCTCATAGATACAATATTTTGTATCAGGTATCGGGTCTCGGAATATTTGTCATGTACTCGTTCGACAAGTAAAGCAAGAAAAAGTAGTCGCGTAGTCGTCAACCTATAGGATTGTTACTCAAGATAAAATACGTTTTTGTTGACATTTAATTAAACAGCTGTAAAATATATTTAATCAGTAATTAGTCAATGTAATTATTTAATTCGTAGTTTGCTGCAGTATAGTAGATACCTATGCACCTGAAGAACGTAAATAATATAAACATACAAAACTTAAATTATTTATATATTTATTAACATTCAAATAAATAATTATTTTCTAAATTTATTTATTTTAAACACAAAAAAATATAATATATTCTACTCTTGTCTTATAGAAAATACCTATAACGAAAAAATAAATATCCAAAATAACAAATAACGTAATTTATCAATTCAGAACTATTTACTGTTTTGTGTGAATGCCTACTGCTACAAAGTTTTATGAATAAACAAAAAATCGTTGCAGTTTAGAAAAATGATTTTGTTTACATACTTAGATTTTAATAATCTATTATAGCGCCGTTCTGTTATTATTTGACCTGCCTTAATAAATAAATAAATAAATAACCTTTATTTTCCTTAAAGACTTTACAATAAAGTATGGGAATAGTCAATAATACAAAAAAGGGAAGATAAAAGCCATAAATTCTTATACTAAAAGAATTCAGTAATGTTATATATACATTTGTGAATTAAATAATATTTTTACTTAGAGAATATACGTTCACTTGGAACAGATGTAGCCACAATGGATAAAAGTTTATTTGCTAATATTGACAATGTTGGGTATTTTGGGCATGTGGTTGACTTTTGCGGGAAGTCGGCATAGAAAAAAAACCGCATATCGTGCTGGCCGAACTATACATGTAACTGTACTCAGTAAGTAATACAAAGTAACGAGTACTCAAGATAAAAGTAACGTATACTCTTGAGTACTAAAAAGTAACTGTATTTGACATCACTAATGGCAAAACCGTTTAATTGTAAAATAAACAGTGTAAGCCTCACACCCCTTCCATAATTGCTTTTATTCCATGGTACATGTGAACTGACATTCTGAGAAGATCTTATTCATTTCAATAAGAAAAAAAGGTAATCTATAAATTGACAATTAACAACATACCCACCGATTGATTTACTGATTGAAGTGAAACCTCAATTGAAACTTATGTAGTTATAAGAACTCCATAATGTGCCATATGAATAATTAAAGTATAACCACCGCTTCTGGCCTGCTATGGCAAAACCGTTTAATCGTAAAATAAACAATGTAAGCCTCACAACCCTTTGAAAATTGCTTTTATTCCAATGGTAAATTAGAAGATATGTTAACTGACTTTCTGAGAAGAACTTATTAAAGTTTTAGAACTTACTAAAATTTACATATAGGTAGTCATTAATGTACAAAATAAATACATACATATATTAGGAAATGAGTCCTAAATGTAAAGTTTGCGAAATATATCCGTAAAGGGTTTTGCTCAGTAATGTGATATAAAATTATCAAAACCCAATATAAAATAATGATATGTTTGATGTTTAGCGGTTTTGCTAATATACCTACCTACCTGGATAGGTAATGTAAAATCACCAAATAGAGAATATAACATGAGATGAGGATTCATTCTTACTTGAAAATGGTGAAAGATTTGGTATTGAGGGTGGTTTTGCTAATAAGTATGATGAAACTACAGGAAGGTATTAATTAAAAATTACCTAAACATATATAGGTACATGAAATAGATTGGGTAATTAAGGGGTGAGACTAAACCTTCAATGTAACGACAGTATTCATTTCATATTTTGAAATATGCAAATAAAATATAATTATGGCTGATGGACTTACCTTTATACTTTTATAATGAAGATAGTGAAACAGTGTTCAGATCAAGGGTTAGTCACTTTAAATACGTAAGTACTAACATAACACTACCTAATGTTCTTAAATCAATTCACTTTCAGACCACTACACAAATAAACTAGATACATCCCTCACGATCTAATAATAATAAATTAATTCAACTAATAAATTATTATTTTACATGTTCTACAATTACATCACAGATTCAGATTAGTAATAGATATGGACCAAACCCGCGGTTTTTGTCTTTAAAATGAACAGTTAACGCTAATTTCCCTAAGGATATCGTGACACACAATAGTGCATTTTCATTGGTTAATACGTTTTGGTCATCCATTTTGAACCAATAGATAATCAGTTCCAAAATTTGAAATTTAAATTTCCACATTACTCAACAGTGAACTATTAAATTATTTAGGAACTATTTTAAGTCAAATAAGTAATGGTAGCTAATATTAGTGTTAATAATTTGGTTGCCCATATTTTATTTTTCTAAAAACATTTTTATTAGAAATGAAATAACTTTATTTAACTACAAGATATACATGTTAAGAACACATTAAATAACACTTTAAGTTATCTATCCAAGTGACTAGATTTTTATAAAACAGTTTTATATTTCACACCTTGGTTCTTCCTAGGTAGGTATTTACATTTGTGTAAGTATATAAAAAATTTTGGAATGCTTTATAGTAGGTAGTATATCTATCAAAATATAGATTACTTACCTATCTAGGAAAAACCATTGAATTTAGGTAACACCGAAAAATATAATAAAGTCATATGTCCAAACAAAAAGAAAAACCATTTCGTGTTCACATATCTCTACATTCCTACATTTTCATGCAAATGCAATTTTGTTTTCCGAAGTTTTGATCTATACAATTTTAAAATTATAGATAGAATTGACCTAGTTCAAAATTCAAAATCTGTTTTAATTCAAATTAATTTTCAAGGTTGGATGCTTTCACTCCCACACTGGTTTACTTATAATGACCCAAAGTAATATGCCAATCAGAATCATCAATAAATTGGTGTGTATGTGCAATTTGATTAATATTTGAAACTAATACAAAAACACCACTCACAAATATCTATGCACCATGCACCAAGGAACAATGTTTTAAATGTGGAAAGGATAAAAGCGTCCAGCTGTATCTAACTTTAAAAATTGGTAAGATCATTACAGAAAATTAGTTTATATTTCCTACTTTATAATACTACTTTCAGTATGGCAAGTGTTAAAGTTTAACATTTTTTCATATTCTGTGGTGCAGTCAAAGGCAATAAAAGGTTTCCAAACCGAACCACTATTTTTTTTTACAAAACAGGACCAGAAACTTCTTATCAACATCCTCCATACCCAATTTTATATTTAAGAGAAATTATTTAAATGACACTATATTATCACTTTTTTAATTTTGGCATTAAATTACTCACAATTCCAAATATCTAAGCTGAACACAGAAATCCTATTTACCGAAGGAGATCTAATGACGTACTACTTTACAAGTCTGTATATTTGTACCTTCGTATTGACTAAAGTCTGTTATAACATCTGCATTCGTTCCAAAACCTTGAATGCATCCCTCAAATGGGTGTAGAAACAGTCCATCAGTTTCGTTCGTTAGAGTTGTATTCGTTGGAATACCCCCAATGTAAAACACACCGCTGGTTGATACTGTAGTATTTTCTAGAATAACGTTTTGCTTCTTCTGTATTTCAAGAGGTTTCTTATCCAATTTTAAAATGAAAGGATTAAATCCTATCTCGATAATGTGCCACATGCCATCGGACACTTGATTTGAGAAGGGTATCTCTACAAAACTTTTGTTGTTCTTCATTGAAGAGTATGTGAGCTTTAGCAGTCCCTTTTCTATGCCTAATCCAATGAAATCTTTGTCCTGAAAAAATTTCTACAATTTAATGAAAATTTTCTTTACGTATATTTAATGATGTTAACAAATAATAAAAGTCCTATTTATGCTGTAACTAGAAGTCGAATTATACCTACGTACTAATAGTTTTTCTGAAATAAGTAGGCACAAGGTCATCACGCGAAATTGTTAGGTTCAACTGTAAATTCGTTGTTTTTGCAAATATTGGAAAAGTAAAATATGATTTATTACAAATTTTTCAGGAATAATTCGTTGAAGAAAACAGTGGACCATAACATTACAAAAATACCTACTAAATACCTACCAAGTCTGCCTTTTTTAAGGAATATCATGTACATTTTACATATTGTTTATCAATATTGCAAAAAGCTGAACAAGCCTATATTTTTAACATTCAGGGAAATATTACCAATAAAATGTGCCTTAAGTGTATAGTGGGGTGTTTGCCACCGTTTCACATATGACTATAAAATGAAATAATGCGGAAAAAATTCTGACTTAATTTATTTTATTTTTATGTAAATCATTATGGCAATTTAAAAAAAATAAAGTGAAACGAATTTGGCGGCCAGTTGTGGCTTGCTATACTATGCCTTAATTTCTCCATCTATTAATAGGAAGTTCAACTAAAATCTCATACAACTGACCTTCTTTTATTTAGTAAGAGCAGTTTTTATAAATATGTATAGAAATTTAAATACAAAAATAATTGAACAACCGCGCCTCACTTCTGGTGCCCTATACAGGGTAATTCACAACTTATTCAAAATAATTTGGGAATAGATGCGGCATGAGAAATGTAGTCAATATCGTAAAAAAATTTTTATAAAATCCGGAAATTATATTTCCGAGAAAAAAATTATTGAAGTAGTGAGCCACGTAGCATCAGAGACTGAATACTGAAATCCGATTTTACAATCTTCGTTGCGATAATGTTTACAACAGTTTTTAGTAGTTAGTGTCAAAAATGGCTTGCGCCTAAAGCAACTCGGAGTTGATGGAAATCGTTTTAATTTATGGTAAAGCAAGACAACATTTGTATTATGGTGAAGCATTTCTGTTACGGTGAAGCAAAACAACATTTGTGTTAGTTCGTAGAAACTGAATAAGACGGACCCTAATACGTGTTTACACGTCGGTGGACAAAATTTTGAACAGTTGTTGTAACATCAGGTACTTATATCAAATTTTTTATTATTTAAAACCACAAATTAATTTTACCTATAATAATAACAATAACGGCAAAGGCAGTTGAATTTGCTGAAATAAAATAGGTGCTATAATTTTCTATTTATTTCTTTCCTTGCGAAATTCTTTCAAGTTTTTGTCCATTTTTATCACATTTTGCCCCCGTGTCAGTCGCATTGTGCGGGGTCAGATTTTACAGTGAACCAGTTTCCAGTGCCGTGCAGAAATATATTTTTAAATCATTTTCGAATGCTCTTTTTTATTCGCCTGTACATCAATTTTTTTTTGAAAAGTGCTGAATCACCCTGTATATCACTGTCCCATTACTAAATTATAGTGTATCCAAAAAATTATGAACTCAGAATAACATAGATTGGACAGTTATTGTATTACACTGTTCACTGCATTTTTAGTATAATGTCAAATTTCTGCTGCCAGTGGCGTAGTTACGCTGAGTCAGTCGACGTCAAAATGTAGAACGCCAATGGATTTTTAAAAATATATATTATTTTCGGACTCGCTTAACATTGTACAGCAAAAATGGTGTCTTGAATTTTTTGCCCGGCGTTCTACATTTTATAACGAAAATGTCGACCGACTCACGCCTACCTACGCCACTGGCGGCAGATATAAATTGACTTTATAACTAAAAATGCAGCTCTTTACCATGTACAATAACTGCCAAATTTTAGGAAACTAACATTGGCTATTCCAAATTTATTTCAAATATTAATATACTCCATAATATTTTCAACACCCTGTATAGGGTATATATATATACCATAAGAAATTGTGTACGGACCGTACTTAGGAAACACTCTCTATACACACTTGCTAAGCATGCCAAGATTTTTAATTCTTCAGGTACCTACTAATTTGATATTTTAAACTTTTTTAAAGTGACTAAAAATTTTAAATTGGCAAAGGGTATTTTTTCTTTGGAAGCGACAGATAATTTAGTTGTTTTCCTGAAAAGATACATAGGCGAGAAAAATGTTTTCAAAAGGAAGTAGCTTCCCGCACCCTTATAACGTGTACTATCGTAATTTGTCGGTTCCAGGTATTAACAGAAGTCAAATTTTAACATTGTCATTTTAAAACGAAGTAATTTTTGGACTAAAGTAAGGTGACTAAAATTAAATTATATTGGAGAATCTGTTGCTGCTTTCTATTGCCATTATTTTCTGGGTTGCAATAAACAAATGGCCCAAACAGCTTCGAAAAGAAGGTACTGAAGGTACAACCGCAAGGTAATTTTTGTCAAATATTTTTAAGACATTGGTATTTAAGCCAAATGTTAATTGAGGAAATCATAATTATTTTTTCAATTCCTATCCTCCTGTGTACTTTTGGATACTTAATACAACACAGCACTGAGATAATTTTATAAAACAAAAATGTAAATAGTTGAAAAATCTTTCAAATGAGACTAAATTTAAATTTGCAAATTTTGGTTAAGCTGATTGAACCGAAGTTATAGTCATTAATATCAAGTAATATTCCCCCTTCCCTCCCCCCAAGAAAAGTGAATAACTAAAAAGACGCAAAATTTTCTAAAGATTACAATGAAAATCTTTGCATCATACAGTGGCTTCAACTGTAAGTTGACTGTGCCCCTATTGTGACGAACTGAGGAACTCAAAAACAGTTTTCAACAGTTTCTATTAGCCACAAAAACAAACATTCTCAGCGCTATACGACGAACGGTTTCGGAAATATGGTAGGCAAATTTCCTTAGGTACATTCCGTGAAAAGGACAATGGGATCATTTTGTGCTCTTTTCTGTGAACAATTTTCTCTTTTCTTGATCCTTACCATCCTTTTCACGGAACGCAGTTATTTCTATATAACTTTTAAGTAGGTTCCAAATTGGATTTCTTATGTTACTTACCTTTTGACTCCATACCAGCAAACTGTCCGGCTTGGCAGTTGTAAAATTTAAATATATCGTCCTTATTTGAACATCTCGTAAATCTCTTTTTTTATCGCTGATCCTTTTAACTATCAAATAACTATTGCCCACAAATTCAGGGGTTTTAACAACAATCTCCTTTTCGCAAAAAGCTCCGGCCCAACCGATGTTGCACGAACACTTGGAATTGTAACATCTTCCCTGATTTTTGCACATCTTCTCATCGCACTGTGGTACATTTTCGCACGTGTCGCCGTAGTAGGGAGAAATGCAAGAGCAGTGGGCTTTCATGAATGAATCCAACCAACAAGTGCCCCCATTTAAGCACGCATCACCCCCACAAGGTGTGCCGTCACAGTCGATTACATTTCGGGCGGATTTTATGTTCTCAGAATTTAGGGGTATGTGTTTGTCGTCTATTGACAGGTGTCTGATACATCCTTTGAAATGCATGGGCAAGCTTTCGGTGGCGGAGAGGGGAAAATCGGACATAACAGGGAATCCTCCTATGAGTACACTTTCTTTGGATACGCTGAAGGGGTGACCTAGTTCCGTCACTCCCGTATTGATGATGTTGTCAACAGACAAGTAAACTTTTCTACCGAAGAGTCCGAACTGGACTTTGTGCCACACTCCTTTGACTAGCAGTTTAGAGCTTCTTACGGTGACTAGATTGGTTGTAGTCAGTTTGTTTTTTCCTAAAATCAGTAGGCGTATATACAGGGTGGTCCAATTTCGACAGTTTTGGTTTTGTTTCTCATGTTTCTCGAGGATAAAATCTGAAGTCAATTTTCGAGAAAAATTTAATGGCGCTTATTATTTTTGGGCACTTCTTGTGACATTGAATAACTCTTCGAGTTGTGAAAACATTTGAAACTGGTGAAGTACGCAATATTTTTCGATTCACGAAATCTAAGTAATATTTACTTTTTGATGATGCCACATGATGCTTGGACAAAACTTTTTTTAAGCATATGTTGTACTGCGTTTAAAAATTACTGAATGTTGCTTTTTGGTAAGTATCTGAATTATTTTTACTACGTATGATTATTTGGATGACGTGAATCTTTGGGTACTTTAATTACATATTTTTCAAATTCATAATTTGATTAAAAGTTAAGTTCCTGTTTTAAGAGATTTATAATTACTAAAATTCGAGCTAAAATTTAAGCACAAGACTATCTTGTTACTACAATATCGATACAATTTATTTTATTTATTTAAAAACTGGAAAACGATTCACTTGAAATTTACTAAATATTTCACAATATGTAATAGTTGTTTACATTTTTTTCGTAGGACAAGTCTACCGCGTGCACACGTGGTATACATCAGATGTGTAGCGTTAGGTTATGCGCTGTTGTCACGTTGTGATGAAACTCCCCAATATTAATACTCACTAATAATACAATAATACTAATATACAACTTCTTTGTTCATTTATGATTACTCTGTCTCATGCTGAAGTAATGGCAGTCAAACTTCTTACACCATGTATAAAAATGTTCAGTACGTTGCTTTCAAAAAAAATTGACACTTAATTCTATCGTAATTACCGATATAATAGTTTAATTCCAAAATAATAATTTCCTGATATTTGCAAGACATTTTTTTTTGTAAAATGCTGTGAATATTGTAGAAGATATTTAGAGAGGAAAGTTTACATAGATTCTAAAAATCCAAAACTATTTAGAGAACTCCATTTACAACGGTATAAATTTATGTAGGTAATACCTCAAACATTAAAAAACTGAATTCAACCCTAAAAAATACATAAAAAAACTTATTACAAAAATAACTCTTTTTTTAAATTAAAGTAGTTATTTTACATAACGTATAAGCAATACAAGCTACAAGCATGTGCTTGGGGCCTCCCTTCTCCAGGGGCCTCCTCTCCTCTGCTATCATATTTCTACTTTCCAAATTCAAGCAATAGAGGGCTTACATGACCTTTGTGCTTAGGGGCTTCGAAACCCTTAATCCGCCACAGTCTACATAAAGTTTTCGCCTTGGAATTTTCGAAAATTGAGCTCAGAACATCTTAACTCTATTTAACTTTTTGAGGAAAAACCATTTCCATGAACAAAATTATAATACTGAATGCAGATTAATGTGAAGGGGTAAATTAAAGCCCTTTTTAAAATTCGGTATACCTAGTCATTTTACTTTATTTCAGGTTAGTTTCGGATTTACGCCAGCAGTAGAAAAAAAATTACAATACGGGTGTAACTTTCAGTGGTAATTAGTTTGTATGGATTCTTATCTCCTAGAATACCAATCTGAATAAACAAAAATTTCCAATTTTTAATAAATATTTGTCGCTATTTTATTAAAGAATGTTTAGCTTGTGAATCTCAGTGTGAATGCCATCAGTTTTAATTTTTGAGTTTATTTGTTTTCAAGAAGGTTTCTTAGGTAATTTCACATTTTGCATGAAGTGTTAGTTTTTACAAGAATCGAAATTTGTAGTGTGTGTAAGGTGTGTGTATGTTCATAGTTAAATTTGTGTTATATTATGAAACAAGCAAGATGAGATTTGACAGCAATATGTGCTATAGCTCCCAGTTAGGTTTTTTTGAGATCATACACCAGATCCAGTAGCAGATAATTACAAAAAAAGTGTAAAGAAAATTCTGTTTTCACAACGAAATTTGGGAAAACAAACTTATGATATGTATTTCTTAAAGTCAAAAGTAACCTCCGTATAAATATGACTCCCATCCACAAGATACACCCTGTATATAGAAAACAAACTTCAACCTATAAAAGAAACCAACACTGAAAATAAGTTTAATAAAAACTTTTACGTGAATAAGAAAATATTACACAAATACACTCATATATTAAAATCAATTAACATACACTAGATATATCGGGTGTCCCAAAATTCACGCTAGATTTAAATTTTGCGCCATTTGTACGGTTGTAGTGTCGCCAACGAAAAAAAAGAAGACTGAGTGACAGCTGACATTAAAAATAATTAATTTTCGTACAAAATTGGTTTTCACTGTTAGCTTTTTTATATTTTGGTGTTTCTTTTTTTATATATTGTATAGTTTTGCTAAATGAACACAAATTCACTCCTTTACATTCATTGATTTTGCCTAGTATATGAAAAATCTCTCAAAAGTTCAAAATTGACATATGGCAAGGAAAATTTTAAAACCTAATTTTATATTATCTTTTTTCACGTTAACCATACCAAATCTTACCTGTATGCAATCTAAGTTCTAACAAGCCATTCTGTAGTGACAAACAAATGAAGCTCGATGTTGCCTTTCCTATAAATATCAATACTCCTTGGTCCTCCAAAATTCGAATTTCGAGTTCAATATTGAATTTGGCGTTATCGAATTCGAGGGGATGTAAAGCAATGAAAGACCTCTTCCCAGTCAAACTCACATCAGTAATGTTCTCGTCTGTAAAAACTATTAGGTAACGTAATCAGCAAATATTTTGTAACTAACCTTTCCCGCAGTACTGTCCAGTTTTTCCTAATGGACAGTCGCATTCGTAACCTGACAACAAAGGGACACAGGTCGATGTTTCAACGCATTTTGTGTAACTCAAGTCACACAGATTATTTTTTGAGGAACAGAGAGGACCGTACCAGTTGTCTTGACACAAGCACCTTTAAAAAATAAAAGATTTTTTAAATACACTTTAATAACAATAATCTGAAACCAAGGGACTTGAGACTTAACGTATTTACTGTATGGAAAATTGATGAATGATGGACTATCGAAATTTCGGAAACTAAGAAACAGAAAACAATGTTAGTCCACTTTACTATTAATTAAATGGCTACAACGCTATCATTTCAATTTTATAAATGTTTCTAAAAAAAACCAACCAAACAACCAAGGGATAAAATTGACTGACCGTTCAAAATTCACCTAATTGTGACGATTTGGTACTTAAGAATATTATTGAAAATGTTGGTGTATATGGAATTACAAAATAAACTTCCACAATTACAAAAACTAACGCAAACCTTATCTAAGTTCAATCTATACGTACATAAAAGTGCTTCCATGATGTAGGCAAGCCCCACCATTCTCACAGCTTTGATCATAACACTCCGTTGTCCCACACTGCCCCACTGCTCTTCCAAATGTTTTACCTGACCCCTGTATGGGTATGACCACACTTCCAGATTTCATTTCTATGTCGAATATGCACCCCGAAAATCCAGTATGTAAAGGTAAATCGTGCGGAAGCAGAGAAAAGTTTCTAGAATCGTGTCCGCCTAGAAAATATTTCATTGCATTATTTTACTCGTATTACGAATATATTACTCTATTTTCATTCCTTATTCTAAAATTTTTAATAATCTCAGTGAAATAAAATTATTTTTTATGTGCAGAATAGATAGAACTATAAATATTATTTTCTTGATTTTTACTAATTTCCAGAATGAAATTTAATTTTAAAATCATTCTTTTATAACGCACCAATAAACAATACAGGCATGACGTCCAACTGCACTAAATTTCCTGGTGATCTTCCCGTGACATTTCCTAAGTTTTCAACATATAACCAGGCCCGTCTACCAAAATGACCCAAACGCACCAAATAATCTCTAGCGCCTTTCTTTAAGGGACGAGACGTAAATATCCTTCTGGGACCTGTAATTCAAACATCCTCACAAAATTATATGAAAAATAAAAAATACTTACCAGATCCCATATTCCAAGTCAGCATAATGTAACCTTTAACAAAACTCACTGCTAAATGATCCGAATAAAAGTCATGATGACCCGATTGACCAACGAAAAGCAGTAGTGAAATCTGCTCCATAGATGTGGGGGTGAATCGAAATTTTAACTCCATGTTTTTGGAGATACCATCAGGGATTGGGTATGCCACATAAGAAGACAATCCCCGGACAGTCGAGGAAAAATATGGTTCTGTTATTTTCAAATCTAAAAATGATGGAAAATATTAATTGGTTAATTCAATTAGCTCTGACAGTTAGATACGTACCATTTTCGCAAAAGTGACCATGTTTTCCATAAGGACATAGACAAATATAACCCATATTTGTAAATGGAATGCAAGTACCTCCAAATAAGCAAGGATTATTGTCGCAAATTGAAATGTCACATGTTTTTCCCAAATATCTAAAGCAAAACATTCCTATCAGAATTGAACACATTCAAAAATGGTAATGGTTACCCATTTTTACAGTGACACTGCCAAGAGTCATTTACCGTGGTACAAGAAGCTCCATTATGACACGGACTGGACAGACATGCTAAAGAGGAACACTCAGTAACTTCCATTCCATCTTCGGCATCTTTATAAATATTTATTGACTTATTAGAAATCTAAAATATGAAAATAAACTACAGATATATTTAAAAATATAATCTAAAGACTTGTGTGGGAGGAGGGGCGACGTATTATTATTTTGTAGGCCACATTAGCTAAATCTAAGCTACTTAAGTACCTTAAGATTTGCCATACAACCAATAAAACCATTTACAGGTAATATATCGGTGGAAAATTCATGAGGTACACCACCCATATGCAACCAAGCTGAAGGTTTCAAGAATTGATCCACCTTAGCCGTCTGGTCTCCGGTCATTGATAAACTATTATTCACCCTGATTGTAGCATCACAGTGTTTAAAATCGTTGCTAAATTCCAATCTACAAAAAAAATTGGTAAAAGAATACACAAAAAAAGTAAGTTTCTATTTACTCTGCTCTTATCTTCATCGTGTAACCATTGTTGACGGGAACTTTAAGCTCACTGAGTAACATTGTTTGGTATCCACAGGAAAATTTAAATTTTAAAAAACCTCCTTCTACATATAATGCCATATAGGTCGTATCCACATTTGCATAAAACAATAGTCCGCTATCTGACATAGTTTTGGCATCAAACTCTATTAATATGTGTGAAAAATTAACCAAGCGGTGGGACAAGTAGGATTCGCCATTAAAAGCAGCATTTCTAACACCAAGTTTGATTTCACAGAACTGTCCTTCAGTGTCAAAGGGGCAAATACACTAAAATGTACAACTTTTAGATGTAAATAATTGACTAGAAACGAAATAATAAAATCAGCGGAAGTTTCCATGCAACACCAAAAATAATTATTGGGAAATGTTAAACATTATCTAGATTAAATTCTAGTGCTTTATGGTAACTGATCTAATATTTAAATTTTTACCTTATGTCCCTGATCAATAAATATACAAGTTCCGCCATTCTGACAACGAGACTCGAATTTGGTACAATCTAGAGTAATCACCGTAGTTGTGGATAGGGACGTAGTCGTCTCAAATGTTATGAAAGTAGTACTTGTATAAGTACTCATTTCTGTTTCTTTTGAAGGTTCGGTAGAAACGAAAGTTGTAACAGAAGGAAAATAAGTAGTTTCTACATCGGGAAAAGTCCTATTTGTTTCTCTTTCGTCGGTAACTGTAACGAAAGTAGTTGTATCTCCAACAATAGTTGTTTCTGTCAGCACAGTAGGTGGAAGAATTGTAACAGCCGGAGAAGAGGTAAATTCGATTGATGTGGTGGTGGATTCTGTAGTTGAAACCGTTTGATTTTGAGACAGTGTTGTGAATTCTGTTTCTGGAATAAATTCTGTAGTAAAAACGGTTTCAGTAGAAGTTATAGGAAATTCCGTGCTTTCTTCGGTAACAACAGTTAATTCTGTTGTTTCTACAGCAGGATATACCGTCATAGTGGTACTTGTAGGTTGTTCCGTAGTAACGACTATTATTTCTGTAGTAGTAATAGGAGGAAGAGTAGTAACTGTATGCGACATTGTCTCACTAGTAGTAGTATCTGACTCAAGTGTTACACTAGTTGTTTGAAATGTGGTTGACGGTTCTGTAGTGAAGGAAGTATATGGGGCAGTAACTTCAGAACCAGTCGATGTTAAGGTAGTAGCTACAGTCTCATTAAAAAACTCAGTCGCGTCAGTTCGTATTGCGACAGTCGTAGTTGGCACTTGAGTGGTTTCAAAAGACACCGATGATGTGACCGTGGTGACAACAGCTGTGGATGTATTGCTTTTTATTGTCGTAATGTCATAAGATGACGTAATGGTTGAAACATCGATCGGTGTCGGACTTACGTACGTACAGTCCAACTTATTATCTCCTAATATAAGGCACTCGCAGAGAACACCTGTTAGATTCGGTGGGCACGAACAGGTGAAGTTATCGATCCCATCTATACATGTGCCCCCGTTCATGCACCTGAACATAATAAATTTAGTGAGTATCAATGAACAGGGGATGGGGTGGGTGTTACCTTGGTCCCAGCTGGCACTCATCGTATTGGAACTGACATAAATCACCGTGGAAATCTGGAACGCAATAACATACTGGATGGTTCTCCTCTATCAGACAAAGAGCGCCGTTTTTGCAGGGGCTGTCGTCGCAGATCTGAATGGCCTCTTCGCAGTTCTTACCAGTGAAGCCTGTTAGTAATATTGTTAATAAAAAATGGGGCTTCATGATTAATTTCTTTAAATTTATATACAGGGTGTCCCAATAAAAAGTACCGTCGTCATTTCCTTACTACCGATACTGGCACATAGATGGCGTTGTGGTGTCAAAACATTTTTCGTCCTAGAACCTTGGAAACCATGAAACAATTTTTGTAGTATACCTACCTTTTTTTATGAAAAGTTAGTAGATATTATATAGCGACAGAAGTTTTTATTGAGACAAAAAAAGTATTTTGAGCGTACTTACCAAACAAACAAGCACAAGAATAGTCAGCAAGTAAATCTATGCAAACACCTCCATTCTGACAAGGTGCTGACATGCATTCATCTGCTTCTGAGCTACATAAAAACCCTTCCCATCCTAAAATATATTAATTCATAAATCGTTTAGCTATGGAATATGCGACATAAATTTAATAAAGAAGTTCTATGACTGTATGTGTCAGGCAAACGAACTAACTTTTTTTATTTTGATTGTAATAAGAATTTAAAATTTATTTGGGTTGTAAAGTAATGATTACATCAAATTTACTCATAAAAAATTAGAAAGTTTGCCTTCATTCATCGATAGTAATGTTTCTCTCTAAGGAGATACTACTTAAATAATTTCTTACATAATTAATAATAATAATCAAATCAAGGATAATTCGATGTTTGGCAGCCTACCTGGTTGACAATAACAAGTAAAGGATTCTCCTGGCCCCTCTTCACATATTCCACCGTTTAAGCACCTCGTTTCATTGGTTGCATTACAAACAGCCACATCAATTTCACAGTGCACACCTGAGTATCCCGGCATACAATTACAGGTGTATCCATTTTGTGCGTCTAAACAGGTACCGTTGTACAAGCAAGGGTTGCTCTCGCATTCATTGATGTCCTCTTCACATAAATCACCTTGCAGATATAAAATGTCAACCCATTGTCTTACTATTTTTTTTAACATAAACTAATAGACCCTTAATTCACCTGTCAATTTCTGCAAAGTATTCCTTGATCTAAGTTATTACAAAAAAGTCCAACGAACTTAAGCTCCTTAGTAAAGTAACCTGCTGATTTTTAAATATTAAATTAAAACATGTCAAATCTCAAAAGTCATCTTAAAGCTTGTCGACATACTTAATTAAAACACCCTTTATATATGTCATTAATTTCCAAGAACGCTTACCGAATTTGGTATTTAACTTCTCCTAGAAAATATTTAAAAGGACCACAGTTAACAGATCGTCTTCAAACTACAATATTCTATTAAGGATTCAGAAGTTCAGAACCGATATTCATGTGTTAATTTTGAACAGAAAAAACAGCCTGTATAATTTTGACAGTCGAATTAAGAGATAGTTATTTTCAATCCATCTCAAATGAAGCCCTTACCAGCATATCCCGCTGGACAAGAACAGTTGAACATCGCAATTCCATCGATGCAGATCCCTCCATTGTGACAAGGTGACGACCAACACTCGTTCCAGTTAGTTTGACACTGTATCCCCGTATACCCGTCTATGCAGTAGCAGAAGTAGGTTGAATTGATGTCATCCAAACATACTCCATGCACGCAAGGATTGCTGAGACAGGCAAACCCATTCCTCACTTCCTGTACCAGGAATGCCACAATGACCGACGACAGTAACAGCCATCGCTGGCTATTGCTACCGATTGGCTTCATACCGCATTCTCGTAATGATACCTAAGTAAAAATAATTTAACTTCATTTATTATAATGTAATAATAATGATAAAATAACTATCAAAATATTTTTTTAAACATCATTTTTCAACTTCACTATTCAAAACACAAGTGTGCGGAGTGTAACTGGACTTGGACATGAAATGGACTAATATCAAAGTGACCAAGTTAACGTTGAAATTTGAATAAAATAATTATCATTATGTCATAAATCACTAGGGAAATAATTGAAACACATATGTGGATAAGTAACCAACTTTTAAGTCTAGTGATAGAAGCACGGCATCAAATTATAGACCTAGGTATAGCAATATCGTTTCAGCATACAAAATAGATTTTAGCACAGTAGGCTCTGTTATTGAATTAACCTCTAATATAATTAGTACTGGAAATAAAAAAATGTGGTTCGGTTTTCTCAGATCTGTCCAAGGCCGATGATAAATCACAAAGTTTGTTTTGTTTCTGATTGTGAGTTTAGAAGGTATTTGTCAACACTTATAGTTTTACTACCTTTTACAGCGTGTATAACAGTCAAAGTAAATAATTATCGAATTGTAAGTGAATCTTTAGCTCGCTCTATATAAGAATTTCACATGATACTGTCTTAAGTACCATTGTATTTTTTATATATTTGAAGAAAGCGCGCTTTTTAAACGTTAAAGAGAAAATATGATATTGATGACATTGGTAATATAGATTCGTAAAGTGGAGCATTTCAAAATTCAAACAGATATACAGGGTGTCTCATAATTAGCTGCCAACCCTGAACAGGCCGATTCTGTGATCAAAACTAAGTAAAAAAGTTCATATGAACATGGGTCCGGAAATGCTTCCTAAGGGCACAGGGACCCATTGAAGAGTGAGGAATAGAAATCATTTTTTTGCAATATCTCTCAATCGCGTTGTGATAAATGAATGAAATTTGGTATACACAGCTAAATTTTGATAAGCAATTTGATGGACTATCCATTTATTTCCACAAGATTCATTGGGGTGGGTACGGGGGGGCCCTTAGTACTTTGCGTGTGTAATATTTCATCTTTGACTTTTTAACAAATTGGACAGCAAATTCCGTTTTCCCGAACTGTTTTACGTTAAAAAGGTACTCTTGTTTCAAATCGTTATCTTTAACGGTTTCTGAGAAAATCGCTCTTGAATTAATCCCACTTTGGTCAATTTCATAGTAATTTAAACAAAAAATAATAATAATAATTTAATACGTAATCAGTAATACACATTATGGATGTAGAACAATTATGATATGATGATTTGTTTATGGCTTTTGCAATGATATTTGCTGTCCAATTTGTTAAAAAGTCAAGGATGAAAAAGTTACACACGCAAAGTACCAAGGGCCCCCCATACCCACCCCAATGGACTTTGTGGAAATAAATGGATTAATCCATCAAATTGCTCATCAGAATTTAGCTGTGTATACCAAATTTCATTCATTTATCACAACGCGATTGAGAGATATTGCAAAAAAATGATTTCCATTCCTCCCTCTTCAATAGGTCCCTGTGCCCTTAGGAAGCATTTCCGGACCCATGTTCATATGAACTTTTTTACTTAATTTTGATCATAGAATCGGCCTGTTCAGGGTTGGCAGCTAATTATGAGACACCCTGTATTGTAACAGGTAGAAATTGAATTAAGAGTTTTCAATTGTAAAATCTAATAGAAGTTAAGTTAAAATACAACAAGTAATGACATACTGGATATATGGTGACAAAATAGTAAGGATAATTTGGGGGACAGTGGGATGAAAAGTGACAGTGTATAATGATATGAAAATTATAATGAAAACTCAGTATAAAGGAATAAAAAGTGTCCACAAAATAATGTAATGTATTAAAAAAAAAAGAATAAAATGGTATTAAAAATGGTAAATTAAAAATGTATAAATTATAAAATAATCTGATTGGTTGAGATTGAAAACGATATATTAATAAACATTGTAATTAGATATAAGAGTGCGGTGAGAAAGAAAATGATTAAAAAAAGTGGTGATCAAGGAGACAGAAATAAATAGAGAGGAGAATCAAGAAGTTAAAAAGAGGAATTAGAAGATATACAAAAGCAATTAATAGAAGAAAATAAAATATAGAAGATTAAAAGAAAATCTTATGAACTACCAAGAAAAAAACAAGTGCTGAGGAGAAGAAGAGTATTAAAGAAAAATAATCAAGCACAAAGTTATTGTGGGACATTTAAAAAACAATAAAGAAAGAAGAGAACAATGAGAGTTAGGAAATACGAAAGAAGAAGTTATTTGGCAGAAAGAAAATTAGGGTGAAGTCTAAATTGGCAGATAACTCAATATAGTCATAATACTGTCAGGTTAGTAAAACATCATTTTGAATTGTCGTAGCCATTTAGAAAAGGAAAGGAGCAGTACGAGCCAGGGAGGTGATTCAGACAGTGCAGTCAACGGAGTGGAGTAGGACACAGAAGGAAAACAAGACAAAATAGAGGACAGTTCGAGTGAAAGAAAGGAAGGAGAAAAGACAGGAGAGAGAGATTACCGGAAGGACATTACTAGTGAGGAAAACATAGACAAAAACACAACAAAAGTGTAGTATAGGTAACAAGAAACTACATATAAATTTATAGAATAAGAAATTAGAAATAATTTAGCTCAGGTTAGATAGGGAATTAGGAAGGATTTTATAAATTTATTAAACCTGTTATTACAATATACGAATTTCAAACTCAATTAAAAAATTACTATTTTATTTTTTTTAACAAAAGCAAAGAAACAAAATTAATTACATATTAAACATTTTCTTCATAATTAATTTCAAAAAGCTTTAGAACCGACTACTGAGATATCACATGCTCTATAAAAATTTTATTATATAATTTGCGGAAAGTACACTAGTAGTCTAGTTGTCTTTAAAATTATTAATTTTCTTTTAAAATATAACTAAATTATAATTTGAGAATAATTTTAAAAAAATATATAATGAATAAATTTACATTTAAAGATTCAGAATCAAATTAAGTGACATATAAAAAGAGCTAGCTTGGTAAGTATAGAATATATTTTATTGTGATATTTTTTAAGAATACTAAAATTCAAAATTTAAATATTTTAAATACATTTCACATGTTAAATAAATCTTTATAATACTATAAATTGGCGCCTAACATTATTTATTAAATAAAATAATAAAATTATATTGTATAACTTGTTAGCTTAAATTCATATTTTGTTATATTACTGTTTTTGTTTGGGATTGAACTCTATTTATAAATTGGAAATAATTCAAAATATTGAATATTGTAAATTATATTTTGAAAATCCGTTAATATTGAACTCATCATTTGTATCAGAAAAGAGATTTATTTTGTACAGGGATATTAACATAAAATTCTACCCCTCTTATATGTTTTGCCTTTCTATTCTATCTAGAAAAAATGGTATATATAAAACCTTAGTACTTGCAATTTTAAAGAAATATTTGTAAAACGAGCTTTATTATAACATCCCGTATGTTTATTGCTTTTTGAAATTCTATAATTTTTCTGATTACGGAAATATACAAGGTGATTCAGAACTTATCCAAAAATTTTTTTTGAATATACTCTTACAAATACAATTTTGTAAAAATAATCAAAAAGGCAATTCGAAAATGATTTCTAAATACACTTCTACACGGCACTCGAAACTGGTCCACTGTAAAACCTGACCTTACGCAAGGCAAAGTATGCAGTCGGCGACCGACACGGCGGCAAAGTGTAATAAAAAATGAACGGACAAAAAATTAAAGAATTTAACTAATACCTATTTTATATCAGCAAATTCAACTGCTTTTGCCGCTACTGTTATTATGTATTAATTAATAAAATTAATTTGTGCTCTTAATTAATAAAATAATTTGACATACTTGGTGTTACAAGTATTTTGTCCACCGACACATTTGGGCCCGTCTTACCCAGTTTGCACGAACTAACACAAATGTTGGCTTGCTTCACCACAACACAAATTTTGTCTTGCTTCACCATAAATTAAAACGATATCCATCAACTCCGAGTTGACGCTTGAAAAACTAATGTAAACACTATCGCAACAACGATAATATTAAAATCGAATTTCAGTATTCGGAATCGCCTGGGGTCACGTGGTCGAATGACGCTAGAGACTGCAATAGCCCAGCGATGTAAAGGTTAAAAATACTACAACTTTAATAATTTTTTTCTCGGAAACTATAAAGATTTTACAATTTTTTTTTTTACTATATTGACTCCACTTTTCATGACTCATCTATTCCAACATTTTTTTTGGATAAATTTTGAATCACCCTGTATACATATCATGAATGTATTTAACAGTTTGTACAATATTTTGGTTTGTTTACTGACCTTACCCAAAAAATATAGTCAGGGTTGCCATGGAATCAACTAAATTTACTGAAAAGGAAACCTTTAAATTCTTAATAATTAATAAAAAAAAAAACGTATCTTATTACAAAACATATTATATGATACTTTCATCCTGTTCAAGACAAAACGCATATTTCAAGCATTTTTTTCAATCTACCTCATGATAGATTGTTTTTTATTTACTTTGCCTAGTCCTCATAGAGATATATGCGGTTCAATCACATCTGTAGGTATATTACATTGTATAATTTAAAAATCACTTTTTATCTTTTAGTAAGTAATTTTTTCATATACCATTTTTTAAAAATAATGTACAAATAAGCACTATTAGTTGGTGCTTCACAAACAATTTAGTTTTGTAGATAAAATACTTAGAAATAAAAGACGATACTACTAACAATTCTTTGTTTTATGTCGTCCTAGAGAGTAAGTACATTTTTTTTTTAATTAAAGGTTTTTATGTTTATGTTGAACATATTTTTATTTATAAAAATTTCCCTAAAATAAAGGAACTAGAATTTCTATTCCTCGCATTCATGAGAAACGTGTTATTTACAACAAAATTAACATGGCTTCACAAACAACAAACATTTCCAAGTATACTTGGAAGTTACTAATCCACACTAGCCAGATTTCTTTTTTTTTTTCATGAAACAACAATGCAATTATGACATTAACGTTGTAAAAAGGAAGCGTGGATAACAGCAAGGTAAAATCTAGTGGGTCGGATATCCGGAAACCTTCATCCAACGGTGCATCTTACATCTCATATGAGAGATGAAGAATACACGAACCATTATTTTTCAGTTTCACTTTACCGGTGTTGTGCGTTATACTTGTGAGATTCTGTTTCGTTCTGCCTTAATTATTTTTTGTAAGTAGCATTGTTTCATTACGAAAAAATAATTAATAGTGTTCCATCATTGTGTGAGAATAATAATAACAAGATGATCTACTACTTTCTCTTGCTAATTTTGAGAAACATAAATGGCGGCAGCCTATAGAAGTTTTTCTATTCTATTTTATAGGTACTATTTTTTAATGTTATTTTGTAACACTGAAACACGATTTTTTAAATCTTATTTAACAACAAAACTATTTGATTTTATTAATTACCATTTAAGTATAACTTAAAGTTAAGTATAAGTACTTTAAATTTGATACAAAATAAAATTAATTAAAAAAAAATGAAAGTTCAAAGAAATAGATAAATATACTTTAAATACTATCCCCGCGCAATAAAATAGTATTGCGCGGGGATTTATATTTTCTTTACAATAGACTTACAAGTATATGGGTAGAGATAATACGAGGAAAATAAATTATTTCATATTTCATAATAATTTAAGAAAATACGCACTAAATTTTCCGAGTTGATTTCCATTTTATTCACACAGAATATTATTTTAACACTTTCGTTTGCATAGATGTTAAATTGATATATTTATATGAATTTAAAAACGTAACAACTTATAGAGGACAGAGTATTTGTACGTAGGTTCTATATTATAGAACATGTAATCATGAAAAATGATGTAGTTTTATAAACATCTATTTTTTCTTACCAGAAAAACTTTGACGTATTAAGCAAAATAATCTGACACGAAAAACAATCATTTTTGATATTAAATTGCATGGAACGAGAATGAAAAATATTTAATTAACAATACAAAAAAATAGCCCTTGACATCTCCCATAATAGTTATTTATGGTACTAGTGTGTTACGGTATATAGATATAAGTCACGCTGGGAAATTTTCCCAAGTGACTTATATGACGTAACACACGAGTGCCATTCAAAATTTTATCCAACACTCATAGAATTTCGTTTTAATAATAAATAAATGTAACTTAAATTTCAATTTGTTAATGTCAAAAAAAGTAATTTAACGAAATTAATGTATTTTTAAATATTATAAACGATGAGAGTGTTAACCTTCATTGTATCTGTAACCAAGGGTTTCATAACCCACATTATTCCTTTAAAACCAAAGACATTATAGTATCATTATATACAAGTGTTGGATAAAATTAAATATCTAGTAAAAAAGACGGATGGCAATGTCAAACAGCGCTGGGAATTTTATTGACAAGATCAAAGGTATCCAACTAGACCCGAAAGATGAGTTTTAACGTGGAAAGGTGCCAACTAATGTTTTGTAGGAACTTCATCGAAGTTTCATCACAAAAGACAAAAATGAGAATTTTATAGACTTAGCAAACGTGTGCACCAAATACTCCCTTGAAGATAATTTTCATGACCAAATTGAAGGAACAGCTATGGGATCATCAATATCCCTAGCTCTGAATATCTATATGGAAACTTTTGAGAAGAAAGCTTTGGAGTATTGGTTTAGATTCGTACATACATTATCTGGCTTCATAGTTATATCAACATACAAGAACTTCTGAATCATAATGTTATTCGGATATCAGTTTCATCATGAAGTTGGAAGAAAATGATACCCTATCGTTTTTAGATATCCTTATTAAGAGAAAAATAGATAGCATTCTAGGGCACGGTGTTAATAAAACAACTGATATGGATAGGTCGAATCTCACTTTCATCAGTTCCAGAAGGAAAGGATCATCAACACCTTAATACATCTCTCTCAACGGAAACCTTCACTAATTCTATCTGTACCTGAAAGAAGACGGAAGCAGCCTTTCGCAAGACAAGTTGCAGCAGAGATGTACTACAGGACCCGTTTTGGATAAACGGATTAAAGGAACACAAGTGCAGAGCATTTATTTATTTAAGTAATACCAAAATTCTGCGAATGAAAGAAAATTTTGACCAAGACTACTGAGCAGCAATAGAAATTGGAAACAGTGACTTGAATCCAAGCTATAAATAATATAAATCAGTACACAACAAATATAAATACCAGCCATAGGACTTAATTTCATTTGAGAATTTCTTCTGATGAAATGTATCTCAAAACCAATTAGGATGTTCCACGAAATTAAATCAGTTCCCAAATTTTAACTGTTCGAATGTTCGATGTTCGAATCACTTATGTACACATACACTTCGTTTATGATATATTTTTTTAATTACACAGTCACACAAAAAAAAATCCCAACCAAGAGACTCATATATCATTTCCGAAGATTCCGATGCGTTGAACACAAAAAGCCTGTAGTCAAAATTCATGACTTGTCGAAGAATTTCGGACAAAAGTGAAGTTTATGGGTAAAAACTGTCCAAATGACCCATATTTGATTTTTTCCTAAATTTCGTCCAAATATATCATTTTTGTAGTATTTTGAGTCGCTGAACACGATACAATTAGTATTTACCCATAACCTCAACATTTCTCAGAAAATCCATATTTGGGCCATTTTTCACACAAATAGTGGATTTTCTGAAAAATATCGAGGTCATGGTTAATTTTACTAATGAAAGTCACGAATTTTAACTACAGGATCGTGTTCAGCGCAGCGAATTCCTTTGGAAATGATATGTGGGTCTCTTGGATTTGGACTTTTTTTTGTGTGCCTATAAAAGAAAATATGAGAAGAAAGTTCAAGGAAAAAAGAGAAAAGTGTTCTTTTGTCAAAAGATGTGTCTGATCCTGTAGATTATTTTGAATTATAAATCGTGGATATGTTCCACTGGTTCACAAAGTATATTGAAAAAAACGTGTGAAGTAAAGAATAACTAAAAAATGAGAAAACTTTAGATTAGATACCATTTACCTTAAAAACGAGTTTGCATATTAACCTTTTCATGAACCTTTTATTTTTTTTTGTCAGATATTCACTGTATAATTTTGTCTGTGTATTGCAACAACCTACATAATAACAAAATAATGTACTTTAATATACATTTATTACAAATTCATGCTAATGGTCTGGCCAGGTCATTGGTAGATATGTAATTGCACCATATCGACATGATGTAAATATTATAATTACTGAAAGATATTAAAATAATTTCCAGTGAATTACAGTTAATATAGAACCTACTTGGAACCATTTGACGCAATTTAATCAGGTTAAACACTTCGTTTAGTGTTAAAATGAATAAAAAAAAATATGAACACGTCTGTAATGCCAGTCTGCGTTACAATTACGGGTAATAATGTCAGTTACATACACATAATTACATGTGTGTACACAAGAAAGATAACGGCTTTTAAAATGTAAAATATACTACGGAAAACGTAACAATTACAGTACCAGCAAATAATTCTTCGTATCCTTTTGTGGAGTCCATTGCGTGATTTTCAACGTCCTACGTACACATTAATATTAAAATTGTGAGAAAAATTGTGCAGATTAAGATTTTGTTTACATAAATCCCCTTCTCTGAATCTGCATAATTGTAAATAAGTATCATGTAACTGCTGTACCATGTGTGGGTGATGTGTATAAAACAGGACCTAAAATAACTAAAAAGGAAGTTAAATATCGAGTTGTACTGTGCTGACTAGAGAGGCGTGTAACTTTTATATTTTTGCTTTTTCGTTTTCGAACCGCTTATTTCAGTTAATTTCAGTATTTAACTCTAAATCTATTTAAATATCAGAAAATGAAAAGGGGCTTTTAATATTCAATAATTATTGCTATTCAAATAGGTTACTGTATTAACTTATCATCATTAGAAAATTTTAAAATTATATGTTCGAACCGAATTTAAATTAATTAACTAACTCTTGTAGTCTTGTATATCGAATACTATTACTATTACGATTACTAATAGGATCACTAATACGATTGCTGTTAGGCAATGTTACTAGATGTTCTTGCTGCTGCTGTTGCTGTTGTTGTGGGTGTCTCGAAATTCGAAATTAATGCAACAAAATTTGATCACAGATTCTTAAGACAAGTTTAGGGTACCCATATTTTTTATTTTTGCCAAGTGACCCCCTCTTTCTGAGTTACAGCCCCCTGAAATCCGCCCCAAAGAATAGTCATTTTTTACCTCAGAACCCTGTTTTACGAAAATCACTAAATTTGGTACACAGGGGTTTTATGACATGTGGAATCTGATAGCTTTTTGGCGGGAAACCTCCCTAAGACACTATTTCGCGGGCCCCCTTATCTTTGAAACCAAAAAAAAAAATTGGTCGCATATTTGAATTTCTTAAAAATTATTATTACACGTAACAGTTTAATAATAGCAAATTATTGTCAAAATGTCAATCAGAATGAATTTGTATAAAAATTAATAAAACGGAGAAAAGAGATAAAATTAGCCCATTAAAAATTATAAGAAAATCTAAAAATATTCAGAGTACAATAATATTTCATGTACATTCTTGGGATCAAATGCTATTTGACTAAAATTTCTTCTCTACAAAATTGCTTCAATTTAAACTCTGAATTATTTTCTTTTTGTTTAATGAAAACATGAAATTTAATGTGCAAGTTCATGTAAATAGATGTCGCTTTTGACACAGTAACCGAAATAATTGCATTTACAAAAAAGGGAAAAATAGCTCAATCTTCAGTAAATAAACCCAATTTTTTTGTAACCTTACAACTTCAGTCCTTATTTGTTCAAATAAATACCTAAGGAACTTTTCCGAGTTTTCCTTTCCTTGGAAATCTTTTATAGTCCTTGTTTTTTCCTAAACAATTATTTTATTAGTCATCAACACATTTTAGATACAAATCTGATTAAATTGTCATCATTGCTTAACTGATAACAAAACTGAAATATTGTTTAAAGGAGTTCAGAACTTTTTCACGAAAATTGTTGGAAATGATTATTATTTTCATTAACACAATTATAAAAAAATAAGGATATTTTGCATGAATCTGAAATTTTGTTTTTACTTTATCAAATTGGAATCTCTGTGAATGTTCTTATCTGAGTTAGATGAACTGATGGAAAATTAATTATTAATAGTGCGATATATATTTTACCAAATCTGTCGATGAAGGATAATTCAGTTCATAATAATTATATGACACATTTTGCATAAATTCTGACAAAGTAGATACTATTGAAACATATTTGTATGGAATTATTAGTGTAGATCATATCTAATTTTTCATGATAAATAAATCAATGATATACCGAAAGCTTTAAAAAATTAACTATTTCCCCTGAAATGTGCGTGACATTACGCAGTTCGTGAGAGTTCGTATAAACCGATGAAAATTTTATCACCATCATGACAATAGACATTATTTTACCAGAATTCTTAATCGAATAAATCTACGGGTTTTTTCAATACAGGGTGCATCAGATTTAAGATCCAAATGTACGTGATACTACTTTTGAAAATAAAGAGAGTTTTCCATTTTCAAAAAACTGGTCCCTGGTGATAAAGCTTCAGAAGACCTCGTGTGGTGATAATCTCAGAAAAGAAAAACTTAATCTGGGTTAGTAATTACTTTTAAGATTAAGTAAATGTAGTATCTCTTGTATTTTCCAAACTTACGAAAAGAATCAATTTGATAGAATCATACCAGACGAAATTATAGGCAATTCCTTTAATTAACTAAATAAAAATATATATGTACATTTGCAAATTTCCGTTTAATGAAAAAAAAACAATACATTAATTTTTTGCGACCTTTATCTCGCAGTATGTCGAAGATGTAACATATTTTGAAAAATTAATCAATTTTTATTACAATTTTCACATTTTTCCTTGTAAGAGTAAATAGTAAGTAACTAGTAAATTAGTTCACTGTATCTAAATAAAGAAAAGGTTAAAGAAATAAGTACATTTTCTTTGACCAGACATTTTCATACCTTTAATTTTGGGGTGAGCAAATGTTGTAAAATGACTCAACCGCTAGATGGTATCTGTGATTAAATGCATTTATATACATAATGTCAAAACTAAGTGACGTCATACGCGGCAATTTTGTTAATGCTGCAACTTCTGAAGAATACTATTAGGTATTTGCGTTAGGTACTGTTATTGATATTCCTGAGATATATAATTTTTTAAGAAATAAATATATTAAGAGTTTAAGGGAATTAATTTTAAATGTATTTTAGATTGCAAAGAAGATTCATTCGAACATGTCTAAAAATACTTGAGCTATAAGAATAAACTTAATAAATTCGATATAATCGTTTAGTTGTTACATAGCACAAAAAACATATTGTAATATTAAAGAATGTCGCTCTAAATATATTACTTAATTTATTAAAAGGCATTTTATGTTTGAATTGCCTCTAAACATTCCTCATCAAAAACCAATTTCTAGGCCAATAATATTTTCCTTTATTCGCTCTTGTGCATTGTCGATATACAATCGAAGCCAAAATAGCTATCATTTGCGAAACATTATTATGAGGATACTAGTTGCATTCACAAGGTGTACTTTTATTAACCTTTTTTTTTTTGTTTTATTGATAAAATTTCGAATCTGTAACATACACTTTATTAACTAGCTTTTCATTTCTAACCAAGATGGCCTAAAAAGAAACCTAAAATGCAAAATTTCTAACTAGTCTCACCCAAAATTATAGCTACAAATGATCAAACGCAATGATATCTATATATTGATTAACTTTCTCCAATGCTACCATACAATCCAGCATTTTATAAACACTAACAAAAAACAAAAATATAAGTGAATCTGTTGACCAAAGCAAAAGACAGTAAGGACTCACTCACATCCAAATATAACCCTCGGTGACACCACCACTAACCCCGTTAGAATTTTTTCCAGCCCCAAAACGCGAACCAGGAAGTGTCCCTGTCATGCGGTAACCATAGTAACGTGTAAACAACAACCCGACACGACGCTAAACTGGTACAAAAGTTACTTGACCGCAAACTGCCGTGGTTGGTCGGCTATTCAAACAGTCACGGGTCCATTCTTTACCTTCACTCGGTCGCTTTAGTTTGCTTCAGCTCGTTGCCAGGTAAACAGCAACGCAAACAACTGTTTTCGCTTTAATTTACTACGAACTACGACTATGACTGTTTCCGATGATTTTAATGCTGTCTAGCATGCAAAAATAGTTCAATTTCAAATTCAACTGCGATGCTGGTGGCCAGCTTTAAGTTCCTTTGTGATATGTCAGAAACAATCGAGAAAACACAGGTATGTTGATGTAGGTAACTGGTATTGTTATTTTGTAGGTTATCCTCGTTTAAGATGCATAATTTGTTATTAATAATAGACCCAAACAAAGCAGGTGATTAGCATGTAAAATAAATAATTAGTAACAGTAGTCAGTTTCAATCAGAAGTTCCGCGAGTGAAATTTGTTACGAGAATATGTGTTTTTGGGTCTAAAAATTGAAGAACACTCGTATTGTGACCTGATTATAACGATACGTTTATTCATTGAAGAAAAAATTCAAACCCAGTCACGACTAGTTTTAACAAAAAGTTTCTAACAACTGATATTATTGTACATAACTTTTACTAAACCAACAATAAGTGCCGTAAATTCATTACTTGAGTTTCATAAATTTGTTCTATGAAAATTCTGAAGAGATTTATATAATCGCGGTAATAAGTTATACTAGGATTCATTATGAGTACAAAAAATTCATAAGGAATTAAGTTAGATTTAGAAATTATCTATCGGTGAAAAAATTTACTATTTCACATTATAGGGTCCTAATATCCGGTTTTATAAATGAAATTTGCGATGCTCTAATTTAAAAATAAACAAGATCAGAAGATAATATTTTACAAAAATGTGGTTCCAAACACAAACATAGTTTTAAAAAAAGTAATAATGATACCTACAAAATTGTGTTATTTTTGAGTCGATATCAAGTTTCCTAACTTTTCTTTTCATCGAACCTTTCAGATTAAATTCATAACTAAATATAATTATTTATCTAACGATATTTTGGGAAAACAACTACTCTGCGGATTAATGTCTCGTGCAACATTAAGTTACACCCCTACAATATCTAACAAATGTCTGTCTACCGATATATTTGGATTAAGTATAAGTTAAGTTTTATACAAGTTAACTTAACCAAACTAATGTAAAGGATGTAACTGTGACATTGCGACAAAACCCGAAGGGCTAGTTTCTCTCATCCAAACAAACAAAAACACAGGAGAAACATTTTGTCTCAGTTCCCTTTGAGTAAAATTTGTATTAACACTAATCAGAGGTATCAAAATTGAGAAGGGTTTTACCTGTCAAAAAAGATATTTGGGGTCATTCAGTAAATTTTCAAAAACGTTCTTATTTTGTATACACAAAGTATTGCTCATGATTAGGCAATCCTGAAAATTTCAACTCAATCTGCTGAGCGGTTTTCAAACGATATGATTTTTAAGATGCGAATATTTCTCAGCCGTAGCAATGCAATGACGTCACCGCATGGGACGGTCAATAATATTTTTATTTTTGCCTATGAAAACTACATAAATCTGCCTAATATCTCATAAATGTATTAATAATATAATATTTATTATGTATTTATATATAAATACTTAGTACCTAGACGTGTTTGTATAATATTCACCAAAAAAATCAACAATGGAAATACAATACAAACGTATTTATTACATACCTAAATTACTCAGGGTAGTTTTATTGCTTTCAAAATAAGTCATTTTTCAAATGAAAGGATATTAAAAAAACAAATCAAAGTAGAGACTAATAGACTATTGATTTTAGATCCACACACAGAATTATGGGGACACTATTTTCTTAGGCCTTCATACTAGTGCTGTCACACTGGGGAACAATACAATGTTTGTATTTTTTTTCTGTTTTGTGTCTTCCATATTGCTAATAAAATTCCGTATCTTAACATATTCAGTTGAAACTTAACAAGCAACTAGATAAAACCCGACTACCCGACTGACTGACAACACACGCAAGCATGCGGCATCGGTTTCCCATGCAGTGACGTCACACCCGCCGCGCCGGTTCAGCGAATACTCAGCACGCCAGTTTATTTTTTTTTTTGGATGACTGGTAGGCGATATAAAATTCTAATTTTGTGCAGAGAACCTTAAAATTGCAATATCTTTCTGTTAAGCAAATAAAAAAAAATTGCTGGACGACACCATTGAAATTATTATTTTGTAGACTTCTGTATGCTATTTATTTTCAGTCAAAACTGTTGCGTCGACAGAGCTGTAGATTTTAATTAATTTTATCATGACTTTTAATGGTCAACACAATACAATGAGATACAAAACACTGAAAAGTTGTATTTTATTCTAATGCGCGAAAGAAGATTCTTCTTGATATAAATGTAACTTTGTTTGGCAATTGGAATAGTTTAGAACCGATCTAAACTATTCCAATCTAACTACTGATCGGTTTTTTATTAAATTTTACGTGTTTTTTTGATTAGTTGTTTAAAAAATCTTTTTCACGTCCAATCTTTAAAAAATCGTTGAACCTTTAGAGATCATTTTAGAAAACTATTATTCTTGTTTTTTGTTTGTTTCAACGGAAAGTAGCCCTGAGGTTTGTCACAACGTCTCTGCTACAACGTCTTGTATATTTATTATTTTGTAAAGGTAATACAGTAACTGGTGACTACTCATAATTCATATAAACAGGTAATTAAATCGTCATATGAACTTATATTATTTTTCTCAGATTTCCTGCAAATATTTTCTGTTGGTGTTACTACTATGTATGTCTTCCACATTGAATTGGGTTAATGGTTAGTATGTCAGATACTTATCTTGTTATTTGTTTTTGTATTTTGATATTTACTAGCAAATTACAAAATGATTGCCTGTTAGAGCAGGAAATTGCTTTTTCTAAAAAAAACTTCAGGAATACACGGTTTTAGTGATTGTCCTACATAATGATAAATACATATCTATGTTGTGAAAACAGATGAAAACAGTTAGAAAACTTTATTTATTTTTTACTTTTGACAAGTTATTTTTCATAAAAATTCTTGCTTGAAAATATACTAAATCTCATTGTCATATAAAAATTTAGATTTTGTTATGCAAAAAAATAAGAAAATGTGACATATAATTGACAAAATTTATTTTTATTTAAAAAAAAGTGTCATACTGACGAACGGATTTCAAATTTCACCTTAATATTATTTATTTTATTTTTAATAATCTTTTTTCGAAACTAAATTAAAAATTATTCAGACGTCAACCGAGTGACATTTTGAATCAGTTCCAATTTTTTTTTTAAATTCTCTGTAATACTTTAGTACATAATATATCAGTCAGGCAAATATCGACAATACCGTGTCCAATTTTGTTTTTCGATAATTCCACATTATTATCGAAATCAACACCTTCATACACTCATAGTTTCTAACATTCTCATTAACAAAAATCCATAATGATCAAATTGCAGAACCAAGAAGTTGGCAGTGTGTACCAGGTTCAGTCACTAACACAGCAACTTGGCATTGAAATATTTAAAAAACTTGTTCCCATATTTATTTAGTCATACCCATGTGGTTGACAAATTGCCTAGCAGTGCAGTGCAGCAATGCGGAATTTGGTGTGATTCAGATAGTTTTAATTTATTATAGGCGCCTTCTACTAATCATTCATATTACAATTGCGAAAGGGAGAAATAAGAATTTATTTACTAATATTATTACAACATGGCATTTTGGAGACCTTTTGAAATGGAACAAAAGGAAATTTATCATCAATATAATAAAATTGTTTGAGGATATAAATAATTAAAATATGTTGTTGGCTAAGTGAACATATAACAGAAATTTTCTACGCATTATATACAAATTATTATAATTTCTTACTTTTAGTAGAAAATTTTTTGGGACGCCTATGAAACTCTTTAAATTTTATTGCTAGACGTTTTTATACATGTTCAACTGACTTCGGAGAGAATGTACCAATTATAAGATATTATTAATATAAAATAGGTATAAGATTATAAACATAAGAGTTGAATTGGAAATGCAACATTATGTTGAAAATTAGTTTGTTTCCCGCAACCTAATGACATTTCTTATAAAAATTTATTTTCGTCATGTTCCCTTTCAACTTGGGCACCTCGGAATCCCGATCTGACCACTACAGATTTTTATTTATGGAAGTGTATGGAACCAATTGTATGAAGGTGCTGATTTCGAAAATAATGTGAAATTATTAAAAAACAAAGCTATAGTAAATATTGCCAATATTTCACTAGATGAGATACAAAATGATCGCAGAGAATTTGGAAAAAGGTTAGTGTAATTGTCGGTGGGATAATATTTGAACAACATTTTAATTTCGTTTCCAATGCGTATAAATTGGTTTTTAAAAACAATTTTTTAATATATTTTTTGTAAAATTAAGAATAAAGCCACTTCGCTTTTCTTATTCTTTACACGGTGTACACCAAAATCTAAATTTTTCTATGATCTTTTTGACTTGTAAAATTTCAAATTAATGTTCAATTGACTTGCCTCTATGATGGTCAGTTGTAATTATTTGCTAATTTAATTTTATAGTTAAAAGTTTTCAGTTTTAATAGCAATGTGGGTAGGTATGTTTCCAACAATTACTTTTATTAAAAAATTTTCTTCCAATTGTACACCTTAACAAAATTGCTTGTAATTTATCACAAAACCTGTTTAGTAAATAAATCACATGTCGCACGTATTCCAGATGATACCCACATAAATATAAAAATGTAGTAAATAAACACGTTTATTTGCATAATCTTGGTAACAAATTTTACGATGCTGTCCAAAATAACCGTTTGATAAACAGTTAAAAATTTTCTTAATTATATAGTGTGTTGGACTGAAGCAGCCTCGCGACTGTATGAAATTTAATTTGCTTTTCTTCAATTGTAATACATGAAATAATTAGTACCATAAAATTATTTCACGAAATAAAGGATGATGATTTTTGCGTAAGCTAATAGACTTTCGGAATAGCTGATTTACATTAACACCACCAATATTTACGATACACACCAACATTAACAATACCATTTACTGACAATGAAACAATGCATCCTTTCATTTTCCTAAAAGACCTAAAACAATGGATACCCCTTGTATGTAGTGATTAAATTTAACCTGTAACCCAGATTCCTCAATTCTTCAAATATGCTCGTGGCGTACTGTTTTGAAAGTAACAACACATGCCTCAGTCACCAAGGCACAAATGAGGACGAATTTTAACATTTATTACCTTCGTTTCAGAGATAATAGTTAGCCATGGATCCTGGCATCATTTGTTTTCAACACTGCGGCCCGAAAGTGTTTTGTTTTACCCTACCAGATACCTGTCCAGTATGCGAAGAGGACCTATCACAGGCCAATTTTTCGCTCTTGCCATTCAGGTATGATATTAGAATAAATCATAGACTATTATTTTCAATGTCAGTGTGGGTGAAGTCAGTATTACGTAAGTGTCTTGTAAAATCATGTCATATGAGTAGTGAATAACAACTTGTTGACAGCTGTAGTAGGTGTACATAGCCCATAATAATCCAATAATTGTAATTAACAAAGTTATAGGTTAGAATAGAAATACACGAAGAAAAATGCATGTAATACGTTTTCCAAACAATGATCTTCCAATTATGAACTGGAATAATTAATTAATTTATTGAAAATAATTAAAAAGAATAATTTTTAAATTCATTCTCCTAATTATATATGTTTTTCTGATAATTGTGTATTTTTTTATTTAAATTTGAGCATTTTTTAAAAATATTTTTACTCTCATATAAATTGTAGAATATTTTCTATAAAACTGGAGATGAAATGGTTTGTAAAAAGAATATTCATATACTTAGATTTACTGCATTTATTACCTACATTTAGCAATATATATTTATTGCACAAAAAGTTTAATACAAACATTAAATATCAAAAACTACTTACGTATATTCTTTTGCTACAAGAAATGATATTTTTCTAAATTTATTGCATACATTAGAAAATAATAATCAAAAAATTTTTAGTGTATCACCTTAATCACCAGTATTAATTTTTGGTATTAAACTAAAACAGCTTTCTTTAGTTGCCTATATTTTCTACTGTATAGCTTACCCAATAGCCATTCTAAAATAATATAAATATAGATCTAAATTAATAAGTAAGAAGTACTAATTTTTATTACCTCAGAAATTTTCAGTTTCTATTTTATAATTGAAGAAATAAAATGGTTTTCAAGACGTTTTCTTTTGACAGTAACCTTCATTAAAATTTTTCTCTCCTTAGTGTGACAATTTAATTGTTATACAGGGTGATTCAGAATTTATCCAAAAAAGTATTCTGGATGTACAGGGGACTCTTACAAATACAATTTTGTAAAGAAAAAATAAAATAGAGCAGTTCAAAAATGATTTAAATACACTTCTGCACGCCACTGAAAACTGGTCCACTGTAAAACCTGACCTCGCACAATGCGACCGGCATGGCGGTGTGATAAAAACGCACAAAAAGAAATAAATAGAATTTTATAGCACTTATTTTATATCGGCAAATTTAAATGCTTTTGCTTTTATTAATTAATAAAATTAATTTGAGTTTTTAAATAATAAAATCATCTGACATAGCCGATGTTACAACAAAATTTTATCCACCAACGTGTAAACACATTTGAGTCCGTCTTACTCACTTTCTACGAACTAACACAAATGTTGTCCTGCTTCACCACAACACAAATGCTTCACCATAATACAAATGTTGTCTTGCTTCACCATAAATTAAAATGATATCCATCAACTCCGAGTTGCTATACAAGCAAACCGTTTTTGACACTAACTATCGCAACGACGGATTTCAGTATTCGGAGTCGCTAAGGCCACGTGGCTCTCTACGCGTATAAAGAATGACGCTAGAGACTACAGTTGTTCAGCTATGTAGTGGTTGAATGTACTATAATAATATGTTATAATTGACTCCATTTCTCATGCCGCATCTATTCCCAAATTTTTTTTGGATAAGTTGTGAATCACCCTGTATAGTTTAATAAAATAAACAGTAATTACTTCCGAAATAGATAAAAAGAAGATTATATCAACTTAAACAACAAATTTAATGTCTAAAATTGTTAGGTACGTACCGTAGCATATAGAGGCTGTTACAAAATTCTCACTACAGGGATCACGAAATGGTAAGAGGTACGAAGTTGCGTAATCAGGGGAGCAACATTACGCCTTTAAAAAATCAAGGCTAACATGATGTGTTTTCGAAATATTTGAAAAAAAACGATATTTTGGAAATCCGTTCTCATGTCCACTTTTTGCCCTCTATCGAATGGCATAATCAATTTTTGTATGTAACGTTTCGTTTCTCCAGGACCATCATCAACTTCATTTTTTTAATTACGACCCTAGAAATTTTATTAAGTACACTTTTTGCAAACCTTCATGATCCCCAATACTGTACTGCTTCAGCCCGAACCAGATTCAGACGTTTTGTCTCGAAATATTCATTTCAGTGTATTCGTTCCAAATTTATTTAATTTTTTTATTTATATTTCTTTGTTTATTGAATTATCATACACTGAAAGTGTCGTTAGACCTTGTGAAATCCATCTAGTTATTTAAACTATTACCACCAAGCGTTACAATAAAACATTTATTATTATTAACTACATATTACCATCACTTGGTCATCATATACAGGGTGGTCCGAACTTTATGCAGGAAACTTCGAGGGCAGATAGATCTTTTTAAAATAATATGTGTTTGCCTTATAAACATAGGTCTGGAACGGCACCGTTTTAGAGATACAGGGTGTTGAATTTGTCAAAAAAAAATGATTTTTTGTTTATATCTCCTGAATCTATTAACCGATCTCAATAAAATTTGGTACATATAATGTATGATAGTAGGCCTTATATTCCCTGAAATATTAACTTTAAAGGTTCAACCAGTGGTGTACAACTGGACAGGGGTCACCCCCTTTTTTACAAAAAAATTTACGCTACTGCATTTTTTACATGGCATTGTAACTGATTTATATTTTAATGCACAAAACACGTAAAAAAGGTGACTAATTTTTTCCCTAAGATTCGCCGTTCTCAAGTTATTCATACCAATACAATCCCCTTGTGGCTGATACTTCTAACGATAATATTACAAGAATATTTGTTTATGTTTAAAAGTAAGTGCAATTTGTAAGCACATCAACAAAATTATTTACACTCCTTTCTACACCACCTGTGAGATAGTTTGCGATATAAACAAAAAATCATTTTTTTAAAACCTCAACACCCTGTATGTCTAAAACGAGGCCGTTCCAGACCTATGTTTATAAGGCAAACACATATTATTTTAAAGAGATCTATCTACCCTCGAAGTTTCCTGCATAAAGTTCGGACCACCCTGTATAACTCGTAACTTGTCTGTCAGAATTAAAACATTATTACAATTTTAATTTTATTATGACAAATTAATTCTTAAAAATGCATATGAACAACCAAAACGCCAACTGAATATTATTCTTTAAAAAATTTCAGTAAATGTTCAAAAACATTTTCGTTTTGGCAAAGGTTGAAAATGAAGATCAGCGTAATATTATCGGAATTTATTATATTTGTAACCGCAACTGTGAAAGAGCATGTCAGATGTATTTGTATGAATATCCTGAAAAAAATTGATCGGAATTTCTCCCTTCGATGAATTTAAATTAAGTATTATTGTAAATATAAAATTTAATACAATACAGGATATATGTATTGAATATTTATACCCGTTGTAATTTACAGAAATTTGTCATTAAACGAAACGTCCTTTATAAAATAATTAACCTTGACTTCAGTGAATTTCGATTATTTTTATAAAATCATCACGTTTTCATTATTACCTTTATAGTTAACAGCTATTATGTTGTTATTAACTTGACAATCGTTTGATTCTTATTTCTTATTTCCTTTCCCGGAATATATCGATCTAAAAAAAATTAATTACATTGCCTTTTTACGGATTAACAACAGGTTACTATTTGACACAAGAAATTAATGTGTTAGCTTTTAATTGTTGAAAAAATTATTGGTCATTAATTCGAAACGAAATTAAACTATCACTTTATATACTATTATTACTTCAGCGTTATAAAAAAATGTCATTAACAGCATCCGCTACAATACGTACCAAAAGTTCATTACTACATCCGTTTGCAACTTATATTCTGTCGAGTTATTAAAATTTTTTATATTGGACAGAAATACACCAAAACGTAAATAATAGGTGTACCACCAAGTTTAAAAACTATTTAACGAGGAAAACTTTTAATTAATATCTAGTTTAACTTATTTAGATGTCTAAACGTATCACGCGTAATAATTTTTTGCAAAAAGTTCCAACTTTTATAATAATAATATTAATAAGTAGGTACCTAAGCACAGAATGTTATAGTTTGAGGAAAAATGATTTAAATTGTAAAAAAGTCTGAAGCGATTTGGCATGTAGCTTCAATTTTTTATTATCCACAAAATACGCTTTGGATAATCAAACATAAGGAGTGCACATAAGTGCATGCATTTCACTCATTATAACGAAAAAAACTATTTCCACACTAATCTTAAGATCAGTTTGAGAATTGAATATCCACAGTCAAACATGAGAACAGGCTGTAAACCGCAGAAATTTGATATTTGAAAAACTAGGTGGATATAAAAGAACTGACAATAAAATAAATACTGAAATTAGAAGACAACTAAAAATAACGTCAATAATAAATAAGATACAACAAAATAAACTGAAATGGATGGAACGTATATTTACAAAATGGATAACATCAGCAGACAGTCAAGACGATTAGGAAAATTATAAAAAATCTGTAAAAACATAAAACATACATCCTAAATAATTTACGTCAACAGTTTAGATAAAATTCTGAAAAACGAAGGAAAACCATGGAAAGAAAATAGAAACATAGGACTAAACATTGATTTCGGTGCCCCAAAATCCACGCAAGATTTGAATTTGGCGCCATTTGTGTGGTAAAGTGTGCCAACGAAAAAAAAAGACAGCGTGACAGCTGACATATGGAGCGCTACACGAAAGAACAACGCGTATTCATTGTTGAGCAATATTTTAAAAATAATGAAGGTTTGGCAGCTACAGATTTAACTCCATTAACTATGAAGAGATTAACTGAAAAAATCAGAGAGACTGAATCAATTAAACACTCTGCCCTTCGTTCAACAAATCGTTCAATACAAAACATCAATGCAGTTCGTGAAAATGTTGCTCATAGTCCTCTCTACAGCGTATACTTACGAAAAATTTGCACGTTCATGCTTACAAACTCCAATTGACTCAAGAACTGAAGTATACTGAAGAAGCAGAGCGAAAAGAGTTCGTTGAATGGATTATGGAACAAGTAGATGCTGGTTTTTCGAACAAAATCATCTTCAGTAATAAGGCTCATTTTCATCTTGATGGTTTCGTTAACCGACAAAATTGTCGTATTTGGGGTTCAGAAAGTTCACAGGTGATTGTTGAGAAACAAATGCATCAACACAGCGTGTCACTTTTTGGTGCGGATTTTGGGCTGGAGCATAATTATTTTTCGAAAATGCGGCAATAACTATTAAGGTGTTCGCTATCGCGATATGATAATCCATAGTCTTTTGTGTCTAAATCGCAAGATATGGATATAGATGACATGTGGTCAATCAAAAATTTTAAATTTTTATTAAAAACCTGTATCAAAATAACTTTTAACTTTTTAAAATTTATTTACAATTCTCACATACTTGTACTACAAATAAGTAGTAACTATTTTATTTCAAACCTAGGTATATCTAGAAGCCTATTATACGGAATATGAATATGTAGGAGTAATGATTTTGCTGTCTGCGCTCGAGTTGAAGTCACTTTTACATCAGCTGATTTCTGGTAATTTAGCTAATGGGCAAAGAATAGTTTAAACTTTTTTTTTAATTCTCAAATAAATACATTTACGACATCAGAACCCTACACAATACTTATAAATAATTTGCTTATTTTTTTATAATCATATATCATATAAATCTTCCAAAGAGAATGTTAAAGTAGGTAGGTACAGCAAATCAGATGTGAAATGTCTTATCTATTCTTGTATCCTATAAGTGACGTTATAATGATCCCATTGATTGTCCGAGATTACAAAGAAAATATTTTTATTTAATTTCATAATAGGTAGGCATTGTAATTTTTTTTCGAAATTTTTCTAGTACTGTAATCAAATTAGAATATACTCTTTCAAATGAGTGTATCTATAATAATTTCAGTTTTCTAGTGGAGTGAGATTACGTACATGCTAATTATTTAAGTTTTGACACAATTTTCAACACACTCTTGTACATATTTTAGATTTATGTAAAAGGAATTACATAAAAAATAATTAAAAGTGTAACAGTAACTTTTAAAACAGTCCGTCCATAACAATAACAGTCCCATAACAGTTTTGTATACCTATAGCATTTGGTTTCACAGTGAATTTTAAAATAAAAAATAACGCCTAATGCCACCTTTTTAATTACGCATACATAAAATTTAGTAGTGATTACCAAAGCAAACTTAAGCTATACATATTTCAATATAATTTCATTTTCGATATTAAAATATTTATAAAAGTAACAAAGGTCATCTGACATCCTTCAATAATACAAAATATCTACTTGGTAATAGGTACTTATTTAGGTTTCTATTGTCGATTTTCTTTGACGTCCGTCGCATGAAGGTCAACATTTTGTTATTATTTATAAATCCACTTAGTATTTTGTTGCTTAATAACTGGTTCGAGGTTAACCTGAACTATTACTTTACATGCAAATCTGAGTTATGTCATTATATCCATATTTGTTCATTTTCATCCAATCGATTTTATCTAAGTATTGATATTGCAACATTTTCTCCAATATATACTTGAAGCAGATCTCAACAGATCAAAACAAAATGAACTAAACTAAATATTTCATTTGATGAACTAAGATATTTTTTAAATTTCATTTTATTAATATTAAAAAACATCTATGTAAATACGAAATAATATATTCAATTAAATGAAAATAAATGCAGTCGTAAATGCTGCTGATTTGGTTATAAGTATATATGAGTTTAGATTCTTATTAAAGATTTTATTTTATTTTTAGTTGTTCATAATACTGACAACGCAAAATCCAACAAAAATTTAGAGTAACTTTATATTAATCATTTATTTACTTCCACGAGTTATGTATTTGAATTTTAGAAAAACAAGCCCATTATGCTGTCATTTGCAGCAATAGTAGTAAAAATATTATTTTTTTACGCCAAAAAGTTTCTTCTTCGTAGCACAGCACATAAGATTTCATATATTTATGAGGATATAGCTGATATTTGTATAAAATAAATAATATAATGGCACGAACAATGCCACATCAATCATTTTTAGCGGTAAATATTTCATAACGCTGTTGCACATTTAGAGAGGTTTTCAGTAAGTCATTTCTAGATCCTCTAGCAACAATGAAACAACGGAAGCTGAATTATATTTATACAATTTAACTAATATTTTTTTAATTACTGTTTTCTCGTTGCAGAGTTCCTTATCCGTTCATCCAAGCTTCACAATATCCATGCGCCGTGGTCATCAAACCAACTACAGGTGATTTTTTAAAGTAGGTATACAGTTTTTAATTAAGTAATATTCATATAAGTCACAGTTTTGAGCACAAATTCGAATAATTACATGTTCTTTATACAAATTCAGTTCGTTACGTAGGTAATGACGGTAATAAAGTTTATAATGTATTTTACTGCTTATCAATTTAAAAGAAATTACTTTTAACTTAAAACATAAAATACCTATATTTTCTCTGTACGAGGATTTTGCGATAAACTTCCATTTAGGTACATAAAATATATGTATTACTACACAACAAATAAATATATACGCGTGGTAGGCTAGGACAGTGTAGTATCACGTCAGTCTGATTTGTTGAGCTCATAGACCTAGTAAACTATAAGGTTGAGCTAAACGCTAATGTCAATTCACATTTATATTCGCATAATTAGTAAAGGCATAAAATTATCAGTGAAGCACGGATATTTCGTCGGCTAGTTATAGGCGTGTTCGTCGTAAACAAATAAATAAACAGTTAGGTATAAATAAAAATAAATAAATTTGCGTACTTTATCAGCGAAAAGTCGTTTTTTACCCCTTGGCGCGTTGGACGTTATTAGAATTAATTACACAGCCCCACAAAAAAAAAAGTATCGGTCCTGGTATTCAGACCCATGTATTTCCATGTACTTTTCAGATTTGGCCCAACGGGTCTGGGTTTTCGGAAAAATTAAAAAAACAGGTAAAAATTCATAAAAAGCGTCATTTACGATCGACGAAAATTATAAAAAGCCAAATTATTCGATCTCATCAGGATATGAAGGTTATAGAATAGCGATATCAAGGATGATGGGATCACAACATGATGGCCGATTTTTGTTGGTTGTTAAAAAGAGAAACGAAAAATAGAGGGACTAAACGAAAGCGTGACCCTTTGCATAGATCCTTTGAAGAAAAGAGAAAACGTTATAGCAACAAAAATAAGAAAGATTTGTAGATATCGTTTTCCTTTGTTTAGAAAGAAGAGTATTCTACAAGTTTTATTGCATTCTCAATCTTCTAGGCTGTTATCTCATCTCTCAGCACAAAAAGTAGATGGATAGATGGGTGGATGGGTAGGTTTTATAGGTGGTACAGGTGGTTGGATAAATATGCGTATTCATGCATGAACGACTGGATAGAAAGATGTATGAATTCATAAATGGGTGGGTGGATAAAAAGATGGATGGAACTCTGCAACACGAATTATGCCATGAAAATGGCATTTTTAAGCATTTTGATCTATTTTCTGTTTTTGAATGAAATTGGACCAGCTTGTCTGACTCTATGATGATAAATTGAAATTAAGCGAGTGAAAAATCATACGTCTAGTGAACTGGTAGAATAATTTGAATTTTTATAACTTTCGTCGATCGTAAATGACGTTTTTTGTGAATTTTGACCTGTTCTTTGAATTTTCCCGAAAACTCAGACCCGTTGGGCCAAATCTGAAGGCAAATTCGGATTAAGCGGAAAAAAGTACATGGAAATACATGGGTCTGAATACCAGGTCCGATACTTTTTTTTTGTGGGGCTGTATTATTATTATTAAAACACTTATACACGAAGCAAACGCGAAGCCAATAACTTCCCTTATTACCGGTTTCGTACGGTACACCATGTACCATAAAAACTAGGACTTCAAGAACAATTTTTTGGATGAATGTTCTTAACTTTGGGCTAAGAAAACGCTTCTTTATTTTTGGCACATCGTTGCAAACACCCTGTATAATTTTAAATATCCCTTAATAAATTATTAAATTGTATTAAAAAGGAAACTACTACTACTTGTTTGAGTCGAGATTTTTTTAACGTTTAATACTATTTTACTCGTGTTACTCAGGTATTGTGCTCACAAAATTTCTATTCGATATCTTCATTTCTTCACAGAATATTTTCAAATATAACTTTTTTACACTTGTTAACGCCCTATATCTTAAAAAGTTTTGAAAACTTTACAAAATAAAGTAACATAATTTTGAAGCATTATATGAATTCCAGAATTTACATGCTTATAACTCGGAACACCTTGTATGTGAATCATTCTATAGTACGATCATATTCGATGCAAAGTAATAAATCATTGCCTGTCAAGGGAACCAATGAAGTACGCCTTTAAGGGTTTTACAAATTGAATAATTTCTTTATACATTATGAAGGGACGAGGGGATCAGTTCAGGTCTGGCACCCTTGTTCCTACAAAAATTCCTTTATTCTCATAAACTATTTATTTTAAATGTAATTTATTATAAATCCAATTTGTTTCCTAAATTCCACATATGTACTACATTTTACCTCTGTACGCGCCACTGTTGTTTACTTGTTTTTTGGAAGCGCTCTCTAATTGACGGCAAAGCTCGCCAGGTTAGTATTTGACGTATAACCGACCAGTTCGTACACTCGATGCACCTGGGCGACTACAGCTACTACCAGAACACAGTGCGTATGCAGCGGTATTTCAGATTTTACATTGAATTTCATTTTAAATTTGAAATGATTTATCTTACGCCTCCTAAAAATGATGACACGATTTTCCTTTGATAAAAGGCCGGCAATTTTTTGCTCTACTTTGCATCGTATACGATCCTACTATAATATAACATTTCAGATAACGCACAATCCTGACTAATACAGATATCGCAACAAGAAAATTATTTTCCATGCTTAAATTACTGTTTATATTTATTATGCTAGGCTGAATCATTCTCCATTACTACAGAATCATTAACATTTTTTTAAATCGTCGATTGTGTAAAAACCCAAAGCCGTATGAATAAACAGTTTCCACTACAATGAACAACAATAAAAGTAAAATTAAAAATGTACCTATACCATAATTTTCCGAGAATTTTCTGGTCACATAATCTCAATATTGTGATGAATAATGATTATTTTTTTCGTAAAGAACCATATTTTGTTTAAATTAACTAAAACTAACAAGAATTTAATAGTCTCTTAAAAATGTCTTTTAAAACTGAAAAATTTGTATCTCAATTTTTAGAAGAATTTCTAGTAGGTAGTTATACAGGGTGTTTCTTAATAACGTGCTAATATTTAAGGAGGTTATTCTTGGATCCATTTTAAGAAAAAAACTTCATATGAACATGTATCCTAAAAGCCTTAACTTTAGAACTACAGGGTGCTACAAGTTGCATATAATGTGTAGAAAATTTCTATTATATGTTCATTTGGCCAACAACATATTTTAAATATTTATGTCCTCAAACAATTTTATTACATTGATGGCAAATTCCATTCTGTTCCGTTTCAAAAGGTCTCCAAAATGCCATGTTGTAATAGTATTATTTCTCCCTTTCGCAATAGCTTTATCAATGATTAATAGAAGGTGCATATAAAAAATTGAAATTACCTGTATCACACCAAATTCCGCATTGTTGCACTGCACTGCTGGGCAATTTATCAACACTTGTCAAAAGCTGAGATTTATTGCCCAGTGGCCCAATGCAGCTGTGTTAGATTTCGTTTGCCCGCGCTCGCATTCTACAGCTAGGCGTATACATTTCTACCACCTCCACGTTTAGTTCGACCAGACCTGTATATGGGTGTGGTTAAATAAATATGGGAATACGTTTTTTAAATATTTCAATGCTGAGTTGCTGCGTCAGCGACCGAACCTGGTACATACTATCAACGTCTTGCTTCTTCAATTGATATCGGAAAGACTTTAACAGTATAGGACGTAAATTTCTTTTGATATTTTAATTGTACATATGAATCACTGATTTATTATTGTTTCCTTCAACAAAAAAGTATTAATAAATCTTTAGTTATAAATTATATATTAGGTATTCTTATAAATCACTGATCATTGATGTAACTAGGTAAGACGTAATAACTAGGCATAGATTTTTTCGCGTGGATGTAGAAATTCTTGAAAAGAGTAATAAACATTGAATTTAACCTGATTCATAATAATTTATATAAAAAATGACTTCCAGTGATTTTGAGATCCAAAGAAAAGTGGTTTTGGTTTCAATCAAGAAACTTCATCATGTGTCAGAACAACTAATTTTAAATAAAAAACTTCATATCAAGATATTTCAAGTAGTAAAAGTATAAATTCACAGATTTATATTAGACATACAGAACCTTCATAAATGTTTACAAGCCATGTGACCGTCGAGCTCAGCCAACCCAACATTGCCCGATTGCTACTGGCAACGATAATTCCCTAAATCTTGGCGTTACCAAAATTAATGATTCGTTTACAATGAACAATGACAAACCGTTACGTCTACGCTCAAGATAATGCTATCGCTGATTGGCTGAATGAAAAATCGCTCACCCAATATTACAAGGTAGTATGTCACTTCATACGTCTCTGTCACTCCCAAAATATTTCAATCACACATACACCAATGAAATGTTGTATTTTCCCTCAATATTAGGCGTGATACAAGGTTGAAAATCAAATCTCTAGAATGCTTATGTTACATACAACCTTATTATTTTCACATCTCAAAATATGTAAATTTGTAACATACGACTTTGTAATTTTGGGTGAGCGAAATTACACCAATCACAGCCGATGAATGAATTTAATTGCCAACGTGAAAGAAATAAAATTACTGTTCCAACTAAAATTACTGGTTACGTGACTTGTAATCATTTATGAAGGCTTCTTACATCAAACCATTCATTCTTTCCCCGGGTTAAGTTTCCCGTTTCTTGACCACTCTTCGAATACGTACACATTTCCAAGAAAATATTGCGTCTAAACATTAATTTCTTTTACTTTTTAGCGATTATTACAATTCTATGGACCTGCACATAGGTGTAACAACATCAAGCGGAACCATAGTCGAATTTGACAAAAACGGTCTTCGACGACACAGAAGCGGTCAATGGGGCCAGTGTCTGCTTCTTGATCAAGCTCCAGGGCCATGGGCCGAGCACTGGGACAAGACTTTACTTCAAGTCTGCAAACAGAAGTGTTGGTCTTCCAAATCCTACAGCGAGCATAAACATAACTGTTACAGTTTTGTGTTGACCTTCTTGATGAGTCTGAATTATGGAAATCTGAGTAATGCTGCTAGAAGCAGAACGACGTTTTGCGAAAAATTTATAGTTCCTAGAACAACATCCGCTGGAAAATATATTTCTTTATACAGGAAGTTGAAAGAGTTTGGGTTTTATGTACATAGGAATAAAAACACATGTAAATGATATAAGAATTTATTGTTAGGGATTATTATGTAGTAGAGCTAGAAAACCAAATGCATTAAACGTTTATTGTAAATAAATACATATTCGTATAACATTTGTCTGATAATTTGTTTTTTTCTTCAAATATAAACAGTGTAAATTATGAGGAGCCCTTTGTACCTATTTCAGCACAAATCTTTATGTTATGATTTGTACAGAACCTTATAAATGATTACAGTCCATGTGATCAGTGATTTTGTTTGGAACATTGATTTTATTTTCTTCATGTTGACAATTAAATTTGGGTAAATAAGATCAAATTTACGTTAAAACATAACATTCCGTTTCATCGGCTATGATTGGTGTAATTTTTTACGAGATTCTATTCAAACAGCGATAGCATTATTTCGAAAAAGTTTTTCTTTAACATCAAAGTTTCAACTTAAATAAAAACAAAACTAACAGAAGCTACCAAAATTTGCAAAGGGAGGTTTTTGAAGAATTTTGATAATGTGTTTTATAGCTTAGAGAGCAGAAATTAGTGTTTTATTGTATCTGCTCCGTTATATTCCATAAATTATATCTTCAAGAGAAGATCAATAGACATTGAATTAGGTATATTATTTATACTGCTAATTGTGTTTATGCATGTACTTACCTACTTGATGAATTTTAAATTAAATTTTTATGTATACATATTAAGTAATATGTGGCTCTTTGTATAATGTACCACATATAACAGCTCTTGTCTATTGTATGTTTTGTGGCTTGCTCATACTGGGAGTAGGTAGGTAAATAATTTATAAAGTAAATGCGTCTGAACCGAAATTTTGACTCATTATTTTGTAACAGTACCAAAAACACTTCATTTACATGACTACTTAATCAAAGGTTGCAGAATGAATTGTGTTTTTGTACTTCTTTTATAGATATTCTAAACTAAAAATGTTGTAGCTGTAATGTTTAGGAATATCTATTTAAATTAATACATTGATGTCCTATTCCCGCCACAGACTCAGCAATGCTGCTGTATCATTGGACGAATCAAAGTTAAAGTTGGTTGGCAACCTACTTCTCTAGCGATCTTGGGTATAAATTTAAGCAGACGACGCAGTCCATTTTAGTGTATACTTATTGGACCCAGTATAGACTTTTTCTTGGTTTGTGGTCTGTGTCCTGTGTCTTTGCTGCCAGTGGAGTGTTCTGTTACTTCTGTCTTCTGTTATCTGTGTACAAAGCCAAAACGAAAAGCAAATGATTTTGTTTTTCTTTTTCTCAGATATTTCATTTTTTACGTGTTTTTGACAATATTTAAATGCGTATTTCTTTGTACAAAATATTAAAAGAAATTTTTACCTTTCAGTCTCGAAAACGAGTTATAATTATGGGGAAGTAGGTATCCTTTTAAAAAATATATATGCTTATATAGGTACCATAGCGTAAGTATGATTATATTTTGAGGTTATATTTTCTTAATGATTTATCTAGACATTCCGAATGGCGAAAATTAGCAAAAAAAGCAAGAAGAAAGCGTATTAGACAGGCTAAAGCAAAATTACGGGATCAGTTGTTAGAAGAAGGTTTGATATAAATTTTACTCAGCAATTTATGCTATTGATAAATATGTGTTTTAGAACGACAAAAACTAGAAAATTCTCCTAGATATAAAATATGGCATGAAAAGCAGGCTAAAGCTGAGGAGTGTCGAGCACAAGAGGAAGCTAGGTTAGCTGCAGAAAAAGATTTGCAATGGAGAAAGATAGAGGAAGAAGCGCAGAAACAATGGCAAGAATTACAAAAGAAACTAGCTGCAGCAAAGGAAGAAAGAGCTCGACAGAATGAAAAAATAAAATTGGAATGGGAAGAAGAACAGAAAAAGCTAAAAGAATTGAAAGAACAGAAAGAGAGAGAATTAGAAGAAAAACTGAGAGAGCAAGAAATACTTAACGAAAAAACTAATGATTTTATACTTAATGGTGGAAGTACACCTGAACATTTAAAAACCAATATGGAGACAAATCCCAATAAACCGACTTGCCCATTCTTTCTAAAAACCTCTACATGTCGTTTTTATGACGTTTGTTCAAGAAATCACATTCGCCCGGGTGTAAGCCGAATTCTTTTAATTCCAAATTTTTTCACTCACTATAGCTTAGAAGCAAATGAAAATGAACATGGAAGTGACTCTAGTCTGGAATTCGAAAATTATGAAACCTACAATCATTACAAAGAATTTTTCTATGACGTTATCCCGGAAATGGAAACTTTTGGTAAAATTAAACTATTTAAAACATGTTGCAACCATGAACCGCATTTGAGAGGTAACGTTTATGTTGAATATTTTTCTACAAGGTCGGCTCTCAAGGGTTATAAGATTCTTAATGGAAGATGGTATGGAGGAAAACAGCTTAATGTTGAGTTTTGTAATATTGAATCCTGGAAAACGGCAATTTGTGGTAAATATATTTATATAACTTAGAATTAAGTGGAATTTTATGAATATGTAATAAGCGGTGTAGACTTGAAAGGTGTATTTTCATCTTGTGTTATGGGGCGTGTAACTCTTGTCATTTTTATTTAAAATATCTGATGTGTATAGTTCCAAAAAATAGCTCAAAAGGATTTGAAAAGGATGAAGAAATATTCCAAATGCTATTGATCACGGGTTGGATTGGCGACATATTCACAACTTCATCAAAAATTGTTTGTTGTGGGATCATTTGTTATGAATTATTCACGAAATATAAAAATAATTCTATTTTTATGATTGAAAGATTTTTGAAACAAAAAATAATTGAAAATATAATTATTTTCAACCTGTTTTTTGCCAACTGCTGCTCAACTTCGACCTATATTGGATAATTTTAATTGAAAACGGTTGACCATGCCTGAATTGTTAAAAATAAGAATCATAAATCTGACAATAAAGTAAAAAAGAACTTTTTGGAGAATATCTTCGGAATATGTGAATAAATGCAATTCTGAAGACATTCCACAACTGGAAGAACATATTTCAATAGAATAAGAAAAAAATGCCTACTAAATAAATTAAAAACCCATATAAAATCTGCTGGTTGAAAAAGGGTCAATTTTTTGATTACCTAATTGAAAAATAAAAAAATGAAGGAATTCCAAAATAGTGGTAGAAAACTGGATCTCATATTACAATAATGCTAGTGAATTAAAGTAAAACAGAAAGTATCTTATCATAATTAAATAAAAAGAGACAGATGAATTTGAGGTTGATTACCCGTTTCTTGACCAGTTGCTTGAAATCCAGTTAGAAACATACCTATGGATTTTAAGAAATAAAGTTAATATGTAGTTTAAAATTGCATTTCCTTATCTAGCATTGATAATACTAGACGGTAATGATAAAAATAAAACTTAATAACTGTGGCGGGGGTAAATGATGGTTAAAAATAGGGAAACAAAGAAAAAAACAATCTTCATTTATGCTTTCGTATTTCTGTTTGAGTTTTACAAAATTAGTCAAGAACCAGCATTGGTCGGATAACTGACGCAATGATCCTATTTACTATTTAGACCTTGTCCAACAAATTATTGTACTACGTGTTGCCTACCATTTGCTTATAAAATATAAAAAAAAATTCAAAAATTTTTTAAATGCAATTATTTGAATGAGTGATTGCTTAAATTGAACACTAATATTTGTATGTATTTTAAACACTACTTTGGACTAGGAAAATCTAAGAAAAACTTTAAAAAATAGTTTCTTAAACTTAAAATAAAACAAAGTATTTAGAACGTGGCACATATAAGGAATTAGTTTTCAATTTAAATGAAGCCTTGACATCCAAATAATTCTGGTACATTTGGCCCTAAATAAATTTATAAATAATATGTTTTAGAAATTTAATAAGGAATAGGAAATATGTATTAATATATTTCCAGAAATACCACTCTATATTTACATTATTTATGATAATTTAAAGTCAAATGAAAAAAAAAATAGTTGGAATATAGTATGAATTGCAATTTGGTGGATGCAAATAGAAACAAATTGCATGTCAGTATTACCAGTAATAAAATATTCACAATTCCTGTATACATCTTCACACACCTATTACTTCCCTGTAAGGGAACTAAATGAACAGAAATAAAATGAATGGTGGGGATTATTGTCCATCTACCATTTTTGTTTCTATTCGCACCTAACTAGCAAACTCGCCCAATTCTATAATATATATTTTTTTATTTGAAATTCTTTACTTACTAACTGTACTTACTACTATAATGAAATATATAATCTTTAACTATGTGGGATTTTAAATAGAGGAAATTTTTAGGACTTTTTTTTGTAAAGCGTTGCCCGAAAGGTAATGCATGCAATTTTCTGCATGTGTTTCGAAACCCGAAAAATTTGTACAATAACTATGAAAACCGTAAAAATTCCAGTAGGTCCAGAACAAGGTAAAGATGTTTTAAAAGGTTTTACTGATTTTCTTTAATATCATTTAAATTGTAGGGATGATTTGTCAGATAGAAGGAATTGGAGATGGTCTGAATCCCCCGAGAGAATACCAAATTCAGAGTGGGAAGATAAAGATAAAAATAAAACAAAATCAACAAGAAAACGGGATAGATCTGAGAGTCATAGACATTCCAGCAGGCGAAAAAGGGATAATTCCAGTTCCAGGCGAAGAACACCAGAGAGTCGGTCATGGTCTAGAAGTCCAGGCAGAGAAACAAGTAGCTCAAGAAGTTCTTCGAGGAGGTCGCATAGATCATATAAATCATAATTTAAGTGCCATTGTATATTTGCATATATTTTTTAATGTTTTGAATTATACAGGTATTTATAAGAAAAGATTGTTTTATTTCGTGTTATTATTTATTTTTCTTTTCGGAAAAGTGTGTTACGGACATGTCCGTTGGACATGTCGATGAGATGTCCGTACATGTCGGGAAAAGTACTTTTGACCTTGAATCTAATAAGGCACCTATGAGTGACGTCATTTTTTCACAGGTCACTGCTTGAGGGTACACAAAGCAAAATATTACTTTTATTCTAATGGATATGTTTTGATATATTTTATTTATTACCTACCTTTACTTTTTTATAAACTGGTTTCTAATTTTCCCCGGACAGCCAATACACTTATTTAAATGTTTTTCCAATCCTACTGTAATTCTTAAATATTGTTTTTGAGCAGAAGTTACATTTATAATTATATTTTTACTCAATTCAGAAAAATATAACCAAACTGTTGATTTTGGCGTCATACTTCATTTATAAACTATTTGTGTACTAAATATTAAATTAAGATTCAACTGATTACTATTTACTAATCGTTAACTTTGCCAAAAATAATCAAATATGGACATATAAAAGAGGTTGTATTTTTAAAATGTCGGTTTCAGTTAAACAATTACCAACAAAATTACAAGAAAATGGCTAAATATCTTTAATTTTACATGTACCAACTCAAAAAATTTTTGCGGGAATTATGAATGCTACAAAGATCTTGGCCTCAAGACATGTCCACTTTCCACGACATGTCCAGCTGACATGTCCACGGCACATCTCTACTTTTTCTTAAAATATATTTATATAAAACAAATATCCGACAAATAACGGAATGAAATCATAGAGCCACATAATTGATTTTATGGCTTATTCAGTTATGAAATTAATTACTCTGCAAAACAGTTGAAAAAATATAGATTTGAAAATGGAAAATGAATTTTGTCAGAATGTAGATATGAAAATATATTAGATTTCTGCAATAAGAACAAGGGACAACTGGAGAAATCCAATTTGTTTACTGAAATTAAAAGTAGAATTCAATAAATGTATACTGTAAATTTATTATTTTTGTTGACGAATACAGTGGAAAGGATAGAAACAATTTTTATGTTTTATACAACATTTTGCTTATTGTGGCAAGAATTGGAGATAATCCAACGTATAAATTATTATTTCACCGCTAAATTTGTAAGACGGAAAACGAACATTTTTTTAAAATGAAACATTTACAAATTTTTTTAATGGACTTCAAAAATTAATCAGTTGAAGCAAACTTTCAGAATAATTACTCATTTATATATTCATTGTCCAAATTATCTCATCATTGCATATTTATGTTCATATTCATAAATGTGGGTACCTAATTTATACTTGGACGGTAGTACCTATAGCAACTAGGTACATCTGTTCTGTTATTATTTGAAAAAAAATTTCTTGTTATTTTGACTACATGCCAAAAGAAAATGCTTAAAATAGCAGAATGCAAGTAATTCTAATAAAAGTATATATGTATAACAACATACAACGTACGTGCTGCCAATCACATACGAGTATATGTAGGTAGGTAATTAGAAATGCATCAATTGCCCCTCTTTCCTATATCATAATAATTACTGTGCATGAGCGGCTCTAGAAAAAAATGGTTAACTCGGAATATGTAAAAAGAAATAAAGTATTCTCTTAATGATATTCGAAACAGAATTGAATCATGAGTACGAGATATTTTTAATAAATCTTTATTTTTTTCTATCTTCTTTTATATGAAGTTAATACCGACCAACAAATAAATCACGTATAAACTTTTCTTGAATAATAGATACTGTTATCAAATCTTGCATGTTTTTGCTTTTAATTCATTTTTATTGTAATAAGCTGCATATTGTCGTGAATCGTGTTCGTGTAAAGATGGTAAATAATTAAGTAAACTTGGCAATATATTTTTTAACCATATTCTCGAGTTCCAAGAAAAAAATTATAAATTGTGTAACTATTTGAGAAAGTTATACAAACTACGATTTATGTTAAAAAGAAATACGTATTGCTTTTAATGCCTAGTACAATTTTTTTAATATTCAGTTATACTGTATCAGTGGCATACCTAGAGTAGGCAAGTAGGGCACGTGCCCTGGGTGCCATTCAAAGGGAGCCGCAAAATTCGTAAATTATTATATTTAAAAAGCACACTTAATTCATATTCAAATAATCCCGCAATTTCTGCTCATGGTAAGCTTTCGCAAACGCGCGGAGTTAAAAGTGCAGTTTTATGAACTAATTTTCGTTCTAAAAAAGAAAATACAAATATTTTGTAAGATTTATAACTGTTTTATTTAGATGTATCTGTTCATTTCATATTTAGATAATTTACGAAGGGGCGCAACTTAATGTTTGTCCTCCTACGTCTCTGTACTGCATGCAGACTGCATAATGCAGTGAGGTGATAAAGGGTGATCGTTTATTTATTTGCGATGTAGTGATAAATATTTTTAACATATTTTCTCCACTAATATAACAAACTGTAGGTATTAGAATGTGATGCATGATTCAGTGACATAAACATCCAGAATTATTGCTTAATAATTTGGAGAAATGAAATATGCATGGGATCCTTCCAGTAGCGTACCTTTTAATATTAAAATTGTATATTATTATTTAAAGTAGGTACATACCTACTCAGTTACTTATTGTAAAAAAGTACATATAGTAGAGGTACATTATTAAAAAAATAGGTAGGTGTAAAAGAGTACATATAGTAGAGGTACATTATTAAAAAAATAGGTAGGTATATACTATTGCAAACTGTTAAAAATTACATATCATATTTATTTCTAATAATAGAGGCACATCAAAGGCGCTTTCGGTGCTTTATTGTATTATATCTTTGAGTCTGTAGTCTATAGCAGCGGTTTTCAAACTTTTACGACTTGCGAAACCCAGCCAACTTTTCGATTTTTTTAGGAACACCTAAAAAAACACAATTTTTACTAATTATATAATATATAAATATACTAGTTTTAAGTAAAAGTAAATATTTTTTTAATTTTGTATTACGATATTACTAATTTCAAAATTTTGAATTTTTGACTGAGTCACGGAACCTCCAGAGAGATTGTGGGGACCCCAAAGTTCCGCGGAACACAGTTTGAATATCGCTAGTCTATAGCAATATAGATTATACAATAAAGGAAGTAATTCAAATAAAATTTTGTTGGAAAATATTTCATTTTCGAGATACAAGGTGAAATTTAAAAAATCTAAACTATTTTCATACATATTTCGCAAACGGGTGAAGCAATTTTTTTATAATTAGCGGATAGCAATGTGGAACTTTTAAGTAAAGACAAAAAAGTAATGTAAGTAGTTGCTAATTTTAGTTTTATTTATTACTTGTCAATTTTCTACTGCAGCTTTCTGAAATATTTTGGTAATGGTTTTGAGAATACTAAAAACGGATATTTACAAACGGCGAGAGTTTCTCATTGTCTCCAGACCGATTGATTGATGACGTCAGGGCTGGTTGATAACGTTGAGTGTCAAAATTTAAAATAGCTGATGCTGATTATGACAATAACATCTTCCGGCCCAGATACCACCTTTCTTAGGTCATTCAACTCTCAATGAATTTTAGATGAACAATACCTACCTATATGTATAAGGGAAGACATTTTGAAACTAGTTCCGGAAACATTTAAAAGCTTAATATTATGTATTAATTTTGGAAATTACCAATATAGCTGCAAATTTAGTAGGCTGAAATGCTCAAAATACTAAGCTCCATTAATTTTAATAATTCTTAATTAGGCCCATACTCCCAGCCCAGCCCAGCCTTCACTGCGCTACTGAGGAACTGTTGCGGCTACACAGCCGGATGACGCATTCCGTTCAGTTCAGTAACTTCGTAACTAATTTTTGTAGAAGTAGGTGGAAATTTTCTAGTTGGAGACCGGTCGCTGCGTCGCTAGCTCACGTGTTCGGAACGCTTCTGATAATTTTAAATTTTATTGAACAATTTGTTCTTATTATCTACGTGATTTTATTGTTTACTCACCAATATAAATGTATAAACCCATCAGCACGCAGTTTTTGTGACTGGTACCGCTGGTACCTTTATATATACCTTTTTCAGTATTGTGCCGCTCATGATACGATTTTGTGCGCGAAGATTTACTTCTGTCGATCAAACCTAACCTAACGATTTTCTGAATTTTTTAATTTCGAGAACCCGATTAATTACCATTATTAAATGGTGGGAAGTGGAATGGGAGATAGAGATTGGAGGCCTTTTATTTATGGTGGGATTGCATCGTGTGTTGCAGAATTCGGTAGGTTAATTGAATCATAAAAAAAAACATGTCCCAATATTTTTTTAACAGGTACGTTTCCTATCGACACTACGAAGACTAGGTTGCAGATACAGGGGCAAAAGCTAGACAAGAAACATGCGAAGGTCAAGTACAGTGGTATGATCGATTGCTTTTTTAAAACTGCAAGGCAAGAAGGATTTGCATCACTTTATTCAGGGTAAGCTCATTTATTTTTAGTTGGAGCACAAACTAGTATATGCATTGTTCAAATACATAGAATGTGACTTTTTCACAAGGGGAATTTAATTGGTTCAAGGAATATAAATAACTTGGCATTATTGCATGTGTTATTTGTTTACTAAAATACTAACACAATTAACTTCAAGTAGTAAAGATTTAATGTTAAAGTAAATATGTTGAACAATTTTAGAATTATTTAATTATACCTACCGTTTTCTTCAATATGGAAATAAATAAGTCTGTTAATATTAATTAAGTACAGCTGCGGACTGAAAAAGTTTCCAATCTAAATTGTTAAAGGGGTTGTAAGAACTAAAATAATAAAACCCAGTTTTATAAATTATGATTTTTTATTGCCTATGGGGTACCTATAGGGTTGCCAGATCTCCGGGTTTGACCCGGAGTCTTCGGATTTTGATGGTACATCTTCGGTCTCCGGGTTAACATGTCATTTCTCCGGGTTTCCTGGAAAAATCGTGATTTCTTCTCCATATTTCCTGATTCCGTTGTGTTTTTTTTTTAGACATCAACTATTTTCCGCTTCAGGTGTGTCCCGAAGTAGAGAGGTAGATATTTTTTTTTTAGAGATCGATTTTTTTGAAATCAATTTGGTTTTTTTAGTCATCTATTTCTCTGGGTCTGTCATGAAATAAATCTGGTAACCCTAGGTACCTATCTTCCAAATATTATGAAGTAAATATTTCAGAAATACCTAACTGTATTCCATATTAAAAAAGTTAATTAGTAATAATAATAGCATGTAATCTTCCTACAGATTTTCTTTTGAGCAGATATTGTTTGGATAATGAGTATAAATTTATAATTACAAACTATAAAAGAAATACAAGTACATTGAGGAATAAATATTTTCTGAATTGGGAAATTAATTTATCGATTTCAATTATTTTTTTAACTATGCAAGTAATCATCTCGAAGGCTACTTATTATTTGGCAATAATTTGTTAAATTTTAAGATACATATACAGTATTTAATATTGAGTACATTTAGCAAGATACCCAAAGTGAAAGTAGCAAATTCCTCTGATTTGTAAAACGTAAAAAAAATCGTGTTTATTTACTGTTTCATCCAATTATCTAGCATTTTAATCCTATTTTTCAGTATTTGGCCGGCAGTATTAAGACAAGCTACTTATGGTACCATCAAGTTTGGTACTTACTACTCACTAAAAAGTATTATCTTAGAGCATAATAACGGTAAAGAAAGTATTTCGGTAAATGTTGCTTGTGCTGTGATAGCTGGTGCTTTTTCAAGTGCTATTGCTAACCCAACGGATGTATTGAAGGTGCGCATGCAAGTAGCCGGCACCAACGGTAATGCTAATATCGGACTTGTAGACTGCTTCAAGGACGTATATACTCACGAAGGAATCTCAGGCTTATGGAGGGTAAGTCACTAGAGAGTAAATTTTAATATAAATACTTAAAACTTATTTCATAAACGATATTTTTAAATGGTATATTTCTAAGTGCATGTACAGGGTGATTCACTATATTGTGACCTCTCCTTTAACTTTTGTTTTAAGAGTTAAAAAAATTTAAAATACAAAAGTTCCACGATTTTTTATGAATTTTTCGAAATTGATATTTGAAAAACTAATGATGTCCAAACTAAATGGCCGCGGATGTTAACTTTGTTAATTTAAATGGAACACTGTATATTTTTCCATATTTGGGTAGAACGTTCCCTGTCGAGCATAGTCATGTAGGATTTGTTGGGCCCATCTCTAACAATAAGCGAGATACTATTAAAATCAGAAAATAATGTTTTTTTATTAAAAAATAAGATATCTTGTAATTGTTAGACCTCTTTCAGGCACTTCTGCCTTTTTTCCAAGTACGTAAGGATTTACAGATTTAGTTGTTATCGGACCAAAATAGGTCCAAAATGCGTTCAGGTATTCTAACTAAATCTCACTGATTAGGCTGTGAGAGGCCTAATTACTCATGGACAATGTTATATGGTAGGCCGTAACAATTATCAAACAAATGACATTACTTGTCACTGTCACGGCCTACCATATAACATTGTCCATGAGTAATTACGTCTTGCACGGCTTAATTAGTGAGTTTAGTTAAAATACCTATATGCATTTTGAACCATATCACTGCCCGATATGTCAAAATATATTACAACTAAATTTGTAAATCCTTAGTAATTGGAAAAAAAGCAGAAATACCTGAAAGAGGTCTAACAATTACAAGATATCGTATTTTATTATTAAAAAACCTTCCTCTTTTTTTAATAGTATCTCGCTTATTGTTAGAGATGAACCCAACAAATCCTATATGACTACACTTGACAGGGAATGTTCTATCCAAATATGTAAAAATATACAGGGTGTTCCATTTAAATTAACAAAGTTAACATCCGTGGCCATTTTGTTTGGACTTAATTTGTTTTTCTACTATCATTTTCAAAAAATCCATGAAAAATCGTGCTACTTTTGTATTTCACATTTTTTATAACTCTTAAAAACAAAAAAGTTAATGGGGGGTGTCAAAATATAGTGAATCACCCTGTACTATATGATATTATTTCTTAAACCCATCTCCAAGATGTCTCAAAATTCAGTGGTTTTAGACCCTTGGATCATTAAAACTTTTTTATTAAAATGATCCAAGGAAAATAACCACCTCGACCTAGGAAACACAAAAAACTGTTTTATTATTTTTTTCCTATAGGTCCAATTGATTTTTCAGATATAAATAGAATTGTATTTGTTTTAATGAGTATAACTTTGTAAATAAATTTTCAAGTTTATCCATGTTTCAGGATATTGAAATCTTCATATTGAAAATACTTATTTCTAAAATCACATAATAGAAATAAATATTTTTAAAATATTTGTCTAAAGTTATATCATTACTATTTTCTGCTAACCACTTAAGTATGTCTTGAAGTATTTACATGTAGAACAATTCAATAGGAATTTACAATAAATATGTTTATTGTAATCCTGATAATAATAAATTTACAGGTTTGTGGCTTTATTTCTCTTTTCAGGGTGTGAATCCCACTGCCCAAAGAGCTGCTGTAATAGCCGCTATAGAGTTGCCAGTCTATGACTTATGTAAAAGTCGCTTGATGAACTTGCTTGGTGATAACGCATCTAATCATTTCATGTGAGTGTTTCCAAGATTCTTAATTCACTTTTAATTAGCGAGTATAATTAAAAACCATTTTTATTGCTATTATTACACAATAAAGCTTATTGGGTTGATAAATTTTGTTAATACCTATTCGGTTATTTATTCAAAAGTTTTCCGCTATTCTGTGTAAAACCATAACATGTTTATTTAATTTTTTAATTGCTGTTAAATTGTTGCGATAATCCTATATTTCCACTGAAATAAAATCAGCGTGTCATTTATGTTTACTTGGTCAGAAATGTCTGACACGCAAATAATTATTGCGTTCGCTCTATTTAGATAATGCAAAAATTCCTATTTATGTTTTGAAATATGTTTCAAAATGTTAGTTTAAAACTAAATTATCTACTGAATTTATAAGAATTTTGCCACATTGAAAGGGAAATTTATTATTTTACTTTTATTTTTTTCATTGGATTTAAATAATTAAAAAATTAACAAATGTTAACATAAAAATTAAGAAAATTGTTTTTATAATTTTCGAATAAACGACCAGGCTTAATTTTTTTTAATTTCCGAACTCTTGAAAATGTGGCAAAGCAAAATGTGTTTAAAGGATATTTTCTGCCTTTAGTATACGTATTATCGTTTTTTTTTCAGTTCTAGTCTTGTTGCCAGTTTAGGGAGTGCAGTTGGTTCTACACCGATAGACGTAGTACGGGTAAGTTCATTTAGACAATCTTGCTTCTATATTTAAATAAATCCTATCCTTGTTTTGTGTGCTAAATATAAATTGTGTAATTTATGTTTGCTGGTGGTAATGTGATAACCTCAGAATGTCAGAAAAGCATTAAAAAGTACAAATATTGAAAAAATTAGTGGAAAAATAATCTCTAGGGGAATACATTTCTACACAAGAAGTGATGAAATATCGTTTCTCAGTATTGCATTGCTATTATTGCAGTAATAGAACGATTTCTTAAAATCAAATTTTTTTTTTTGTGTCTCGTGAAAATATGTTAGTTTATCATGTTTTAACCCTTTCGCTGCGCAATACGTCTAAACGTAGCTACCGCGCCGTGCGCGAAAGTTTATCGCGTGTGAATATATACGTCTGGAGCAGTTAGACCACTTATAGTTTTACATTATGTTGTGCTAAATTATGATTTACGATATATTTTACGATTTTATTTTGAATAAAATACAGTATATGTACTAAATAGAAACTGAAAGAAACATGAACAATCTTGGTATTATTACCAGTACCTCTTTCCATAAAAATATTTGTCACAATCGGTATAAGCCCGCCTGCAAAAATTCGCCTTACCAATTGCAATAACCGAGTCACAATGTTTGAGCCCTAAAAATTTTTAGCGAATATATACGTCTGGAGCAGTGAAAGGGTTAAGAGCCCCCTCAAAAAATCAGCTCAAAAAAAATTTTTTTAGAGGTCGCCCAAAATTTTTTAAAATTTCCAAAATCGTCAAAAATATAATTTTTTTTTAAATTTTTTTTCTCGTTATTTTATCTTCTAGGTTGAAAAAAATCTCGATTCTGAAAATTTCAAATCGATATTTAATCAAAGGTCACTCATAATCGAAAATAAATATCAACGAACTAATAATTTTTTTTTATTGAATTTGAATAACAATAGAATAGAAATAAATTACGAGACACTTAAATTTTGAAAAAATTAAAAAATTGTAAATATTTGATACAGTGCGGTAGTAAATTTTGCCTCAAGAAATTTTGTAAGTGTCTCGTGATTTATTTCTATTCTTTTGTTTATCAAATTCAATAAAAAATTAATTAGTTCGATGATGGTCGCACGAAAACATTTTAGGTACACTACTTTTAAAGTTAAAACAATTATGAGTGACAGTAGAAATTAAAATATCGATTTGAAATTTTCAGAATCGAAATTTTTTTCAACCTGGAAAATGATAAAAATAACGAGAAAGAGAATTTTAAAAAAATTTAATTTTTGATGATTTTGGAAATTTTAAAAAATTGAGCGACCTCAAAAAATTTTTTTGAGCTGATTTTTTGACGGGGCTTTTAAACATGATAAACTAACATATTTTCACAAGAGACAAGAAAAAAAAATATTCGTTTTTTTTGGGCCACCGTAATGTACGTATTTGTATTAATTAAATTTTAGATAGTATTTTGAATGAAATTAATAATTGTATTAGAGATGTTAGTGCCACTTTTTGATAAGAATCTGTCGGGCTTTATGATATATTGCTACTAATTATAATACTTATGAAATATTTCATCTGATGCAAAATAATTTTAATTTTGGCAGTAGACTTTATCGTAAAAGTAATGAGATTTGGCAAAATGATATCAGTTTAATTAAACTCTTGTCTCGATCCCAAATATCTGTCTAGACACTTCGATATTAATGGATACGTAATCATCCGGATTAGATTAAATTCATTTCATTCATTAAAAACTAGACTAATAGACTAGAAAAAATAGACTAATAACAGATGTCCACCTCGTGTACATTATGTAAAATTTTAGGAAAACCATCTTGTTTTAACAGTACTCAAAGTAATAATTTTATGAATTTGAATACAGAGGGTGTCTCAAATTATGGGTTATTAACGTAAAAGTAAAGTAAGAGATTGTTAAATATTTTTCATTTAATAGACCCTAAGAATCTGCATATTTGTGCTGAAAATAGCAAATTCTAACTATGGTACAATTTTTTTAAGTACCAATATTTGAATAATTGTATTAGCAATTTTTGTGTCTGAAACTGTCACTTTTCTCTCCACTAAATACTTCCATATCAATTTTTATAAAGATCTATTTATTTTTAAATTATATACAGGCTGTATCACGAAGAGGGCCCAGTAGGATTAACACAAAAAGTAGTCAAAATTGAAATCTGTAAATTTGTGTACAGGGGTTTATCAAAAAGATCTATTCAATGAACATAGTTTCATCTTTCTCACACTTTCGGTTATACCGGAAATCATCATCAACTCTGTTATTTCAAATGGAACATTCTGTATATTTTTGCATGTTTTAATTCTACGGTAAATTCTAGATTAATTTTATATAAGGTACTATAGGCTGAAATGTGACAGTTTTTAAGTTATTATCAATTTTCGAAAAAAATTGAGGGATGTAAGTGATTTTTGAAAATAGAATAACTAGACATTTTGCTTTATTTATTAATAAAATTTGGCATGGATCATTTAAAAGCAATGGAATTCATCCAGTTTATATCAAACTTGCAAAAATTCATACAGAGTGTTTAAGAATGTGTGGCCAATATTGTGACATTAAAGTTGAATTTACTCAAATATTTCAAATGGTACACCCTGTATATTATTACATTAATGGATGCACAATCTACGGAATTGAATAATATATGGTGTCGGATTAAATGAACTGTAATTTTCATTATCGTTATACCTTCATCAAAAACAATAATTTAGTACCTATATTAAATTAGAAACAGCGATGCTTTAAATAAACCCACCAACTTGTAGATTTTTCTGTGTTGAAATCAATAATTTCCAATTTACACAAAAATTGTTAACTTTGGGTATGGGGAACTATAGTGTATCATTTTAAAGTAAATTTAATTCTGCATCCATTAATGCAATAATATACAGAGTATACCATTTAAATTATCCATGCCAAATTTCATTAATAAATAAAGCTAAATGTCGGAGTCATTCTGTTTTCAAAAATCACTTGCATCCCTCAATTTTTTTCGAAAATTGATAATAACTTGAAAACTATTACAATTTGGCCTGTAGTACCTTATATGAAAATAGTCTAGAATTTGCCGTAGAATTAAAAAATGCATAAATATACAGAGCGTTCCATTTGAAATAACAGAGTTGATGATGACTTCCGGTATAACCGGAAGTGCCAGGAAGAAATTTTCAGATTTCAATTCGGACTACTTTTTGCCTCTTCGTGAAACACCCTGTATACCATTCCCAGCACATTTTAATTAATTCTGATTTACTTTTTACTTTATTTTTCAAATATTTTATTTTCTGCGTTGTTTAAATTAGTCTTCAATTAATCCTTAACAATACCATTGTTGTTAGATAGATACTGATATGCTGTGAGGCTACACTTGGAACAAAATTTAAGTATTTCTGTTGAAAGTTATTTTAAACATGTATGTGTGCACAGATAAAGAAGATAAGAAATATAGCATTATTTAAAAAAATATATATTTTTAAGAAAAATATGAAATTAGTACATGATTTAGGTACATTATTTTAGTTATATTTATTTTATAGAGAAAAAAGGAAAAGGTGGGAAAGGAGGAAAAACAGTATAGGCAAAAAATATAATATTTAAGACTTTGTATAAAGCTGAAAAATAAAGTAAATAAACAAAATAAGTACAGGACTAAAAAGTATATTTTTAAAATTTTTTTAATACCTTTAAAATAGATTAAAAAATGGAAGACTTAATAAAACATACATTTTTTTCGAGAAATATTGTACATTTGAACAGAAAGTCTACCATACTGTTAGCTTAGATAGCAAAACCCTTTAGGTATAACAGTAATTTTGAGGAAGCATCCTAGTAGAATATGTAAAAAATATATAGTGTTCCTTAAAACAAAACTATTTGTTGTATTTTTCATTGTCAAATTTGCAAACATTGGTTAGTGATTTTTTTTATTTAAAATCTGACTACACCATTGAATTCTACAGACCTTTAAATTGGTTTTTATCATCTCTGTTCTACCCAAATGAAGTGACCACTATATGAAATCATAAATAAATTAAATAAACACAAAATTAATTTTTTGAACATTAAATTCAATTTCAAATTAAACATAATTTTCAGTTTTAATGACTGAAACATTTCATTTTATTTATGAACAAAAAAATGTAAATAATGACAAGGTCACACAACACAAAATTGTAGTCTCGCTCTAAACTTGCTTTCAAACCTTTTTGTATGCATCGCGTTGGAATATTTTTCATAACTGTTTTTAAATGTTTGGAATGAAACTGCAAGCGTCAATTATTCTTCTTCCCCTTCTCTGTTGTCTAGATATGCTCTATATACTTTTAGTTTGAGTGTATAATTTATTTTATTTACTTATATAGACTTTAGGAAGATCACAGAAATATGAAAAATTGGTAGTGAATATTTGTTCACACAATTGGTACAAATCTAATTGAGTGGGTGCAGATTCTAATGGCATAGTCACATTTTAAATAAAAAAAAATCAACGCCTGTTTTACAAAAATGTTTCCATTTGAAATAGGTCACAAACATATCTCTGGAGAAAAATTGGAGAATAAATGACATTTTGCAATACTTTCGGAAGACGGCCCAAAAGAAAATGTAACACTTGTAGATTGAAAAATACACAATAATCCATGGATCTAAAATAATACATTATATTTCAAATAAAAAATTTGCTTATAACCCGCATTTTTCTTATGAAAAGGTGGTTTCAGTTAAATTTGCTGAAATGTTAGGTTTAGGTGTTAACCTGCTGATAAAAAGTCTCCATTGGCGCAATATTCAAAAGCTCATAGTTTTCGAGTTATGTTGACTTCAGAGTAATAACTGTATTCGAAGGGGTAAAAATATTATTTAAGTAATATTTTTGGCCATTTGCATTTGCATTACCCAAGGTTACAAAATCGGCCCAACACCTCTTTGGGGTGGCGTTTTTACCGTTAAACTGTTACCCAAAAACTACTTGTATGTGTAAAAATGGTTGAGTTTAGCCCTGAATCATGATTTGGTTATTGTGTGCATTAATATGTGACAGATACATATGTGTATGAAAGAAATAATAAAATATTTAATTTTTTATTACAATTTATAGAAATCCAATAGGTTTTCATGCCATCACCTAGAATAGTTGTAACGGAAATCTGCAGTTTCGAACATAGTTATTGCCCTGAAGTTAACGTAATTCAAAAACTATGAGCTTTTTGACATTCCGCCAATGGAGACTTTTTATTGGCAGGTTAAGAGTTGTAACATATTAAAATTTCAGCGAATTTAACAGAAACCACTTTTTCGTAAGAAGTCCTTTTCTAGAAATGTGCACAAAAAAAATTACAGCTAACTTTTTATTTATTTTTTGTTTTCTGTAAGTGGCTATTTTTTTCAGACTCGACTTATGAACCAGCGCAAGTTGAAGAAAAGCGGGGGACCATTACCGTCTCACATTTACATTGGAACAGCAGATTGCTTTATTCAAACATTCAAAAACGAAGGATTTTGGGCATTTTACAAGGGATTTATTCCGACCCTCTTTAGAATGGGCCCTTGGAATATAATATTTTTTATAACTTATGAGCAGCTTAAGCAACTGTATTAATTTATTTCTGACTGCACCTTGTGACATTTATGACTGTTTATTTATTTGTGTACCAGTAAAATTGTGTCTTTTAAATTATCACTATTTATTGAATATAAAAATGTATATATTACACTGTATAAAACTTGATAATAAATGTTGCGCCAATATTTTGGTTTTATTAAAGTGCTTTTCTGTTGGAAATGTCCTTACCTCCAGCATTTTTGATTTAACAACATATTTTATGACATCATAAACCAAGTTTAGTTAACACTGTTTAATACTTGTTATTTTAGTAATATACATTAGATCGTCAATTTTACACGTATATTTATGCAATAATTACAAAAATTATCCTATTACATATAATGTTAACCTAGTCCCTATTTGTGAAGATTTAATTGGCATTCATATGCCAAACTTTTAGAGGTGATTTAATAAAATAATTATTTACATACGATTCAATTCGATCTACTCTATTTCTTCTAAACTAGTTTTTGAGATAGTATTGGAACATTTTCCTCCTCGATGAGAAAACGTATAAAATGAAGGAATGTTTCGAAATGTCTCCCAAGATTTATCCTCCAATTCTGCAGATGCTTTTATTTCTTTAAAATCACCTGCTACGTGAAGTACTCCATACATTATGATAAATAAACTAATCAAGGCTTGTATAGTTATCTGAAAATGAATAACTTGAAACATAACTTAAGAATAGGGAGTAAATACGTACATCATGTGGTAAATATGCAAAATCTAACTCATTTAGTCTTAAGTATGACCGATCTGAAAAGAGTTAAATACTTAAATATAAATGTTATAAACATTATAATAACCTACGTTGGGCTGCTGAATATGCTGCATGAAATAATGATAGAAATCCAATGGTTAAAATACTACGATGAATAAAAGTTGCTGGCATTTTAAAAAATATTGAATATTTTAACTTAACCTTTTTCTAATTGATGATTGATGTTTCTTTTTTTACCATAGAACATAAATGGAATTATAAGAAAGAGATTACAGTTGAGATGGGTGGAATTTGAAGTGAACCGGTTGCTGCTCAAAGATCTGTCCCGGGCTTCGAGCATATACTACAAGTCGTGCCATTATTCCATGGCTAGAAATTGGCTTCAATGATTTGGGATCTAGGGGGATGATTATCCCTCTTTATCCTGCCTCATCTCGTGTAGGCCTGGACAGCCTTCGTAGGTGAGCCCCATCCGTCTTCTACCCCGACCGCAAATGCGGCCGGTGTAGGCGCTTTGTGGGACCGGAAACTGTTTGCTTTTTAATTTATTTTCACCTTCATTAATTCTTAGTCTATCCAAAACTTTAAAAAATATCATAGGGCTATAGATAGTTGGACCTGTTCTATGATTGGAATATGTAATCCGATTTTGTAAAATATACTTAAAGGTTTTTCACTTTCTCTTTCTCATTCTGTTATTTGTTATCTCAATTTTCTCAATCTGTCAAAAATTGTAATGAAAAAATCACAAGTGTGAAATTGTTACTCGTTTCTAGATTCTTGTGTTGCAAACAAAGGGGAAAGTTCTAAAAATAGCCTGTATTTTTCCAAAATATATTACTTTTGTATTCTTTTCCTGATATTGAAAGGCCATGGGGGCTGTTTTAGGACTCTGTTCAGCAGCACAGGTAAAGTGACTAATGTTTATTAGCAAGACATTTTATGGATATCATGACATCATATAAAAATATTTTGTTAATTTCAGGTGGCTTGCTGTTGCGGCAGTGCTGCTTGTTCCTTGTGTTGTTCGGCATGTCCATCATGCAGAAATTCCACCTCTTCTCGTATAATGTATGCGTTAATGCTGTTACTGACTACCATTGCTGCCTGTATTACCCTGTCACCAGGATTGGAAAGTGCGTTAAAGAAGGTAAGTGTTTATATTTGAGGAAAGGCTGTGATGAAACGACATATTAGTTTACTAAAGTAGTGTCACTAGTACTACTAAATACTATTCAATTTTAGGTACCCTTTTGTAATAATGGTTCAGGAAGCTACTTACCAGATTCTGTTGTATTTGATTGTAATAAAGCTGTAGGATACCTAGCTGTATATCGCATATGCTTCATTTTAACATGTTTCTTTACCTTAATGGCACTTATGATGATAGGGGTAAAGAGTTCTAGAGATCCCAGAAGTGGAATACAAAATGGGTAAGTAAACAATATTATATGATCATTTAATTCTTATTTCTTACAAAAATCAATAAACGGATAAAATGGAACAAAGTATATACTGTTTTTCATCGATTCAGGTTTTGGGGACTTAAGTATCTTTTGGTAATTGGAGGAATAATTGGAGCATTTTTCATTCCTGAGGGCACCTTTGGAATCACTTGGATGTATTTTGGAATGATTGGCGGGTTTTGTTTTATATTGATTCAGTTAATATTAATTATTGATTTCGCACATTCTTGGGCCGAAGCTTGGGTTGGAAACTATGAGGAGACCGAATCCAAGGGCTGGTACTTTGCTTTAATAGGAATAACTATGCTGAATTTCGCTTTGAGCATTACAGGAATTGTCCTGCTTTATGTTTTCTTCACCAAGGTATGGAATACCTTTATTTTAATTTATATAAACCTTGTCAAAATGCACATTTTTTATTTGTTTTAGTCAAACGACTGCGATTTAAATAAATTCTTCATCTCCATCAATCTCATCTTCTGCTTCATAGTGAGTACTATCTCAATTCTGCCTTCCGTTCAAGACAAGCTACCCAGATCAGGTCTTTTACAATCGTCTGTTGTTACTTTGTATGTAACTTATTTAACTTGGTCTGCTGTTTCTAATTCTGCAAGTAAGTAAGTTCATTTAAACTTTGTGCCTTTTATTCATTTCTTTTACCCTTTTTTAGAGGAATGCAATCCTGGTTTGTGGGGCATATTTGGTGGAAAATCTTCTGGAAATAATAACATTGATATTATTGGTTTGCTCATATGGATGTGCTGTGTACTTTACTCTTCACTTCGTTCGGCCAGCAAATCTTCAAAAATAACCATGTCTGAAAATATGCTTGCAAAGGATAATGGAGCAGGTATTTATTTTTATATTATCAATTATTTATGTTTTAGTTAGGTCTTGCTTAAGTACTTCTTATGTGATTGTGCTTGTGCCTTGTTTGTAACTGCATTTTTTTTTGTTAGCGATTACATTCACACATTTAAAAATTATTAATTTAGTAATTATACTGTGTGTAACTTTGTATGGGGGCCATATTTATATGGAAACTACCATTGATTTTTAAAAACATGTCATAAGTTTGTTTTTTGAAATTCCATTGTGATAACTGAATTTTTTTAATCTTTTTCTTTGTAATTTTATTATTTTTTTTAAATTTTTTTGGGTATTCTGCCACCTGTGAAAAAATTTTTTTAAGAACGAAATGAACCCTTGGTCAAGGGTTATTTTTATGAGAATAGTTTTGCCTAATAATATCTCACTGAAAAAAACCGACGAAAAAAAACACCACTTTAATGACAATAATGACTTCGTTTTAGTTACTTTTGACAGTTTAAATTTATTTTGTTTTAAGTTCGGAAGACAAAAATACAGGGTGTCCGGAAATTAATGCAACAAAATTTGGTGATAGATTCTTAAGACAAATTTAGGGGACCCGTATTTTTTCTTTTTGCCAAGTGGCCGTTTCTTTTGGAGTTACAGCCACCTCAAATCTGCCCCTAAGAATAGAGTTTTTTATATCTCAGAACCCTGTTGAACGAGAATCACTAAATTTGGTACACAAGGGTTTTATGACATGTGGAATCTGATAGTACTACGCTTTTTGGCGGGGAACCCCCTTAAGACACTTTTTGTGGGTCCCCTTGTCTTTGGAACCAAAAAAATTTGGTCGCAAATTTGAATTTCTTATTAATTATTAGTTAGGTAAAAAGCCATTGAATTTAGACTTTTTTGTCTCGATATTTTTCTCGTAAAATTTTTGAGGAAAATGGAGAAACACGATATGCATTTGATCACATTTTGAAATTTTTCTTGAAAACATTGCGTTTTACAAAATTAATAGACAAAAAAAGTGTCTAAATTTAATGGCATTATAGCGGACTAATACATTTTTAAAAATTTATATGTGCGACCAAATTTTTTTGGCTCCAAAGCCAAAGGAACCCACGAAAAATTGTCTTAAGGGGGTTCCCCGCCAAAAAGCGTAGCACCATCAGATTCCACATGTCATAAAACTCCTGTGTACCAAATTTAGTGATTTTCATACAACAGGGTTCTGAGATATAAAAAAAAGATTATTCTTAGGGGCGGATTTCAGGGGGCAAAAATAAAAAATAAGGGTTCCCTAAATTTATCTTAAGAATCTGTGACCAAATTTTGTTGCATTAATTTCGGGACACCCTGTAGCTTTTCGGAACTTTAGGAACTTTTTGAAGCGATAAAGTGATGTTTTTTTTGTGTTTTATACTTGTCTGCTTTTTTTCAATATATTTTTGTTAGGCAAAACTATTTTAAAAAAAAATAACCCTTTTGTTGCAAGGGTTCATTTAATTAATTTTTTGGATTTTTTCACAGGTGGCAAAATACCCAAAACTAAAATGAAAACTGCCACAAATAAGCAATTTCGGACTAAATCATAATTTGATGTGGAGGCCCAAATAACCCTGCGTTCCAACCGCGAATAATTGTTATATTTGATCCTTTTTTTATTCATATACATGTTTTTTTTTTCATATTATCACAGAAACTTAACAGTAATGACACACCAAAATTATTTAGCATATTACAGACACCTCATAAACCAATAAACTAAAAACTATAATAAATGAAGTACCTACTTAGTAATATATTCAGTCTTCTCATTTTTCCGAATAAGTTGTTTGTATTTTGACTATCTACCACTTTGTTGTCATACCATATTAGGTGTATTAATAAATGCATGATATGTAAATCATGTTGGAGGTCATTAACACTGAAATTCACGAACTAAACACAGTGCATTAAAAAATATTTTAGATCTAGTAAGTATTTTTATTTATTTATTTTTGTGTACATTATATAAAACAGCAAACATAATTATTTTAAAACATAAATTGGTTTTACTTATAATTTGACAAAAAAAAATTGGTCGCAATATTATACAAAAGCAATCTGTTTTCACAAAATTATTTTCCATCTCGGTTTCACTTTTTGTCACTTTGACATCTAATTGATTCGGAAAGGTAACAACAGGAAACACTTATAAGGGTGCACGTACAACCGAGTTCAGGAGCTACCCAGTGGTGGGGGTAGACAAGAATTTAAGTACAATTTAAAAACAAATTATAACTGGACTAATTATTCAATTTTAAAAAATATAAATTTGCGAATAGTAGGTATTCTAGGGAATGTGTACATAACATATTAATATTCCCTTACAAAACTGACTCCCACTTAAAGTTACACCCTGTATATTATATTGAAAATAACCACAAACTAAACAATTTTTGATAAGTGTGCACTACATTATAAACCTAAATAATTTTTATGCATGTTCAATACTAAGTACATTTTTCCGTAAATACTCATAGGTGTATGGAAGAAATAAACACAATACAGCTTGCCATTCATAACGCATGTTTGGTACTTGTATTTTGACCCATGGCATTATGTAGTGAATAGTTTTGTTTGACGCTTTTTGTAAGGTGAAACATATAGGTAATTAATTATTTTTATTTTCTCCAACCAGTAAGAGGCAGTGGATCAGGAAATTTGGTCGAGAATGAAGGTAGGACTCAGTGTCTTAATTTATTTTACATATTCACTTAAGTTAAATAGGGGATAAGTTGATAGATTCACCATAATGCCTTGGATTAATTATATATTTTTTTCTTGTTTCTTATGTTGTATTTTTATTTTATTTCGTTATATGAAGAAGGATATACTCCTATCGCAGGTAATGATGGAGATGGTGGAGAGAGTGGAAGGAAAGTCTGGGACAATGAAGAGGAATCGGTTGCTTATAGCTGGAGTTTCTTCCATGTAATGTTTGCCTTGGCTACTCTGTACGTTATGATGACCCTCACCAATTGGTATAAGTAAGTAAAAACATTTTTTATTTTATTCAGAGCATTCACAAAGAATTGCACAAATTTTAATTTGTTTTGACTTTAACTGGGTCTAAAGGGCGTTATTTTTTTTATAGAAAATGTTTGTTTTTAACCATATTAACTTGTGCTAATAGTCCCCATTACCGTTTATGCTTCTGGGTAATTTTTGATTGTTCTAATGTTTCTGGTCACCTTGGTCTCATCGCACTTAGTCCTGCTCCATTTCATGTTTCAACTCTTTGAGGAAATGACTATTTTTGTAAATGAATATCATGATCTGTAGACCAGGATTAAGATTGTAGTGGCCCCAATACAAGTCTTACAAATGGGATAGTTCCCAACTTTTTATCTATACTATAAAATTGACGTTATTCATAAAATTCTTGTTGAAATGCAAAATCATTAGGTTCAAAGACATCTTTAGTGCCGTAGTGGTAGAGTTGGAGACAATTTTTGCATAAAATTCTCTACACTGTGCTTTGTGACTCCAACCTAATTCTACGAGTTGTAGAATTTTTGTTGATTGCAATATAATGTACTGCAGTGCATTCACAGAATAGTAACATGGATCTTTTGTAAAATCTCTCCTTGGTTTGATGCACATGTACTGGAAAACTTGTGTTACTCGTACTTCATACTACACATACTATATACATTTGCATTTTCTGTACAGCATCATATTTAATTATTGTCACTTTATTCTTAAGGATTAAAAGTTACCATTGTTACACTCTTACATCATAATTTTATGTAACCCGTTTGTATCTCCTGACGGAGCTGTTGAACTAAACTAAATACGATTCAAATGGTAGTGTAATAATCACACAAATGGCTCCATAGTCTTTCTCAATCTATCATGTAGATGATTACTGTCGAATTACTATTCAATTCCTCGCAGGTGTTACATACCTACAAAAAAAATTGGAAAATTTGCGTATCATTAAAATATTGAAGAGGTCTATGTATCATCGTATATACAGGGGAAATGGTAAGAGATATGAAGTAGCTTAAATGGGGGCAAAGTTGCATAATCAGGGGACCATGATGCCTCTAAAAATCAAGGCTAACATCATTAGTTTTCGAAATATTTGAGAAAAACCGAAATTTTGGAAATCGGTTTTTATTGCAATTCAGCCTTGTTTGAGGTGATATTGAAAAGAGAACACTTTCTCATGGCAACTTTTGCCCTTTATCGAAAGGCATAATCAATTTTTATATGTAACGATTTGTTTCTATCAACTTAATTTTTTTAAATACGACCCTGGAAATTTTATTACATTTTTTGCAAGCCTTCATGACGCCAAGTAAGGTGGCCCAAAAGAAAAAGGAATATTTCTCGAGGCAAAATTTACTACCACACTATATTTATAATTTTTTAATTTTTTAAAATTTAAGTGTGATTTATTTCTATTCTTTTGTTCATCAAATTCAATAAAAAAAAATTATTAGTTCGTTGATATTTATTTTTAGAGGTCGCTCGAAAACATAGGTACACTACTTTGAAAGTTAAAATAATTATGAGTGACCTTTAGAAATTAAAATATCGATTTGAAATTTTCACAATCGAGATTTTTTTCAACCTAGAAAATGATAAAATAACGAGAAAAAACATTTAAAAAAAATCAATTTTTGACGATTTTGGAAATTTTTAAAAATCTTGAGCGACCTCTAAAAAAAGGTTTTTTTAGTGGATTTTTTGAGAGGGCTCTTAAAACATGATAAACTAACATATTTTCACAAGAGACACGAAAAAAAATATTCGTTTTTATTTTGGGCCACCCTATTGTACTGCCTCAACCATAGCTAGATTCAGACGTTTTGGCTCAAAAAATTAATCTTCAATGTATTCGTTCCAAATTAATTCAATTTTCTTTTAGATTTCTATGTTTATTGAATTATCATACACTGTGTCATTAGACTCTGAGAAATTCACCTAGTTATTCAAACTATTGCCATCACGTTACAATAAAACGTTATTAAAATTTTAATCCCGAGCTCATAGTTATTTCTAGGGTTCTCGAGTGCTCAAAATTCAAACAAATTTTGATCTAATTATTTTCAGGATATTCATGCAAATACATCTGACATGCTCTTTCACAGTTGCGGTAACAAGTATAATAAATTCCGATCATATTAAGCTTATCTTCATTTTCAACATTTGCCAAAACGAAACCGTTTTTGAACATTTACTGTAATTTTTTAAAGAATAATATTCATTTGGAGTTTTGGTTGTTCATATGCATTTTTAAGAATTAGTTTGTCATTATGAAATTAAAATTGTAATAATGTTTTAATTTTGATGCAACAACTTATCGAATTACGTATGACTAGGTGATATGGAGATTAAAACTCTAATAATGTTTTATTATAACGTGTGATGGTAATAGTTTAAATAACTAGGTGGGTTTCACAGGGTCTAACGACACTTAAAGTGTACGATAATTCAATAAACATAGCAATCTAAATAAAAATTCTGAGATATTTGGAACGAATACATTGAAGATGAATTTTTCGAGACAAGACTTCTAAATTTGGTTCGTGCTGAGGCAGTACAGTATTGGAGGCTTGCAAAAAATGTAATAAAATTTCCAGGGTCGTATTTAAAAAATGAAGTTGATAGAAACAAATCGTTACATATAAAAATTGATTATGCCTTTCGATAAAGGGCAAAAGTTGCCATGAGAAAGTGTTCTCTTTTCAATATCACCTCAATTCGTATTTAAAAAAATGAAGTTGATGACGGTCCTGGAAAGACGAAACGTTACATATAAATATTGATTATGCCATTTGATAGAGGGCAAAAAGTTTACATGAGAAAGTGTTCTTCTTTGTTCAATATCACCACAAACATTGAAATGAAACAAAAATGGATTTTCAAAATTTCAGTTTTTCTCAAATATTTCGAAAACTAATATTAGCCTTGATTTTTTAGAGGCATAAAGTTGGTCCCCTGATTAAGCAACTATGCCCCTTTTTAAGCTACTTCGTATCTCTTACCGTTTCCAAGATCCCTGTAGTGAGAAGCGAATTTGTAACAGCCCCTATAGTTCCTAAGCTATAAGCCTTCGATTTTTTTTAAACATCAATTCTGGTAAGGCTACTAAAACGTCTCATAGCTTCACAAAAATTAGAGTTAAGGCCCCCCTAGACGATCAACCGTCAAGGTATTATATTGAAAGATTGCGCAATATATTGAGTGAAAAAATAGTTTGATTTTTATTGTGCAACGAGGGATATATTGTGTCGTCGGTGGGTAATATTGCGCGATATCTGTTCAGTTGTGTATCGAATGTAGTGCAGTAGTATTCATTTTTTCAGTTTCAGGGTTAACCATTTTCAGCAGTTCATCAAATGATGAACAGTCCAGTCGCAGAAAGTTTCGAAAATCACTTGGTTCACTTAGTCTTAGGTCACTTAACAAATTTTCATGAGTGTATTTTTTTTTTTTGTACCACTCCTTCATCCACCTGAACTTCTTTTTCTTCAAGCACAAAGCCAGTGCAATGGCCACACAGTTAATTTTCATGTCACTCAACAAAGTTGAAGTAAATTATTGCACAATAATAGTGCACCGTCTGGGGACATCTCTTAATATTATTGTGCAATATATTGCACAATAATATTGACCGTCTAGGGGGGGGGGGGGTCTTAATACTTACGTTTTTTTTTGTACTTGCTATGCTTGTAGTTCTGTATTTCAGTTACCAGTGCCATAGGTATTGGGAGGTCAGCACTTTCGTTAAACTATAACTTATGCTGTTATTATGATTTTTTTTTTAAATATATCTGAATAATTACTATTTTATTTTCTTAGATTTTGATATGAATTGTTTTCAATGTTTATGAAAGTGGCTGACTCATTTGTATCTACACTGCATTTGAAATGCATAATTATTGGGCTTTATTTTCTGTGTAGTAAATGTAGTATTATATTAAAAAAAATGATTTTTATTATTAAAGCATTTGAAAGCCTTTGCATTTTTGAAGCAAGTTTTACCTGATAACTAGTAATAGATATAATTATTTTCTTCCAGACCAAATTCCAATCTTGAAACCTTCAATTACAATGCAGCTTCTATGTGGGTGAAAGCAATTTCCAGCTGGCTCTGCTTGGCTCTGTACTCCTGGACCTTGATAGCTCCAGTTGTCTTGAACGACCGTGAATTCAATTAAATTGTTGTAAGAACCAGTAAATAATCTTATAACTCGCTTGGCGAAATATCTATCAGCAAACATTGTATTGAATATTTACTGGAATTTGAAAAAAAAAGAAGTATATTTTTAACTTACCTTTCCAATTAGTTGTCTTGTTCTGAATGTGATTTTTTTTATATGTATATATCTGTTGTAAAATAGTTGCTTTTATCTTTAGTCTGATGTCGTCACTGCATTTGTGTGATATTCTAGATGTAAGGTTTTCCATTAAACCTATTTTTATTACCTATATGAGAATTAAAGGGTAGTGTTTTATATTTAGAAAGGCTATTTTAGTTCAAAATAGTTATAGAAGCTATTTGCTCTTTAAACTCAACTATCCAATATTGTATTTATGAAGTATTTACTCAATAAATTCATTTAAAATATTAGCAGTGTTGCCTCAATGTAGTAGCTTAATCTCTCACCAGATGGCGATAAAACATTTTTCCCTCGGTTGCAAACGTAACTTTCAAACTTCAAGGATTAAGCATTGGAGTTCTGTGTATTGTTATTATTCAAAGTCAACATGTCTCGACGTTTTTTCCAAAGAACAATTACTGTTTTGTTAAAAATGGCTATATATACAGGGTGTTGCGCTTAAATGTGATACAAGCCTGTAACTTCTTTAGGGTAAAAAAACTCTCTAACTATGATACTGCTGTTTTTATTAATGCAGTACATGGCCAACTAGGACGCGTTTTTTTGACGTCAAAACAGCTAATTGGTATTAGCGATTTTTTTCTCCAAAAAACAGATTACATATTCTCATTCAGCATCCCTTAAAACGTCTTATCAGCAGTTTCATCAAATTCGTTACATCTTCAGACGAGAACTTCATGATGTCCTAGTTGGCCGTGTATTGCATTAATAAAAACAGCAGTATTACAGTTCGAAATGGATTCTTGTTATGGTAAGTACTATAAACGTAAAACATGAGAAAATATAATATTTTATAATATTAAACACTGAGTTTTTTTAATAATTAAAATGAAAAAATGAAATGAGAAATTGAAAATATGTAAAAAGTACATAATTCTGCGGTCTGTTTTCAATAATTTTATAAGTTATTACCTTTCAAAATCACTTTTAACTTGCTGCGCCTAGCCACAGCTGCATTGCTGACACGTGTTTGAATAAGAGTTTTTAATGTCGTTTTCAGTATATTTAAAGTAAAAAGAATACGTAGAAGACGTAAGTATGAAGAAAAGTATACCGGGTGGCTCATTTTAATCGACGCACCCGAATATCTCTGTTGCTAAGTCGAATAAAAAACAATGTTCAGACAAAAGTTATTCAGGACAAAGGGGGTCACCTAACTGCAATAATAACTTTGACCTTGGTGTCAATTTTCAAGGTCATTTGAAGATCAAAGGTATTTTTTTTAAGGGAAACCCTATTTTTGACGTCGGATTCAGAAAAAGCGGGAAATTTTACGTCCTGAATGGTAGTTTAACAATTTTTAGAGTGACCCTGAAAAGGTCAAATCAAGGTTAAATATTGAAAATTCGTCCAAAAGCTGTTTTTTCGAATTCTTGGTGGTTTAGCTCAGGGGCCAATGACTGACCATTTTGACCTTAATGTCAAATATGAAAGTCATTTAGAAGCAGTGTTATTAAATAAAACATTTCACTTCTGTTCTTAATCTTACTTTTAGCGTTACTCAGAAACAACGACGTGGGCGTAGTAAGTTCTGTTTCCTTTGCGGTGCTTGTTTACCGTGGGTCCCCTTGCCTCTCACGTTTGGGGTGCTTGTTTACCGTGAGTTTCATATTTGACATTAAGGTTAAAATGGTCAGTCATTGGCCCCTAAGCCTACTAAACCACCAAGAATTTGAAAAAACAGCTTCGGGCTTCGACAATAGGGTTTCCCATTTAAAAAAAATACCTTTGACCATGAAGAGCAAGAAAATTTAATTGCCGACAGATATCTCATTATTTTGTAAACGGTTGTGGCAGATTTTCTAGATGATATACCTTTAGACAAACTAAGGAAGTGTTGGTAGCAATTAGACGGGGCTCCATCTCACTGTCGCAGTCAAATCAATCAACAGCTGACTAAAATGTTTGAAGATAGATGGATGAGACGCCTAGGACCGTGGAATTGGCCAGTGAGGTCTCCCGACCTCACTCCTTTAGATTTTTATGTTTGGGGAGTAATAAAGCAAAAAGTTTATTCTACACCCGTTGCTTCAAAAGAGGATTTGATTGCTCGATTACGAAGAGCGTTCCATGAATTGCCTGCAGCTGAAATAGCAAAAGCGGTGACTGATGGTGTTATCTCTAGAATCCACAAGTGCTTAGCTGTTAATGGAGGTCATATTGTATTGAACACTTATGACTTTTTTAAGTATTTTTTTTATCTTAGTGCAATATTATTACCAATATACATAATTAAAATTGTGTACTATGTATGAAGTTGATTTTTTAGAATTCTTCTTAACTTTATTCTGCTCATTGGAGGAAAATTGGGATATGTCTTATTAAAAACTGTAAATGTTCTGTTTAGAATTCCATTGCAACGTCGGTGAATAAATAATAATAACTGGTGACAGTTTAGTTGTTTGTTTTCAAGTTTTGCTAAAAATTCCACAGCTATCTTCGCAAGAAATTACATGATTTTCTATCACGCGCGCTCGCTATGGGACCTATAGCGTAGGGGGTTATGTGCACGGAAACGCTAGCAGGGGTCGGCAAGTAATTTTAGGTGGGGTCCGGATACTTTTGAAATTTTTTAACGAGGTCCAGAAAAAAATTCATATTTCTTACTAATTTTTTATTTTCATTTGCATTAAGAACTCAAATCAGTCACAATTGTAAAATACTAGAAAAAATTATAAGGGTGGCACTCAAACGTAAAAAAATATTTTTTAAATAATTTATTTGAGTAATTTATATTTTAAAAAAATTTTTGGCGGTCCAGTATTTTACCTTCCGTGGTCCGGATCTGGACCGCGGTCCGCCAGTTGCCGACCCTTGCGCTAGAGCGTTGCACTTGTGAAAATAACATCACACCGTTGTACTATCTGGCACTTTCCGTGCATATAACCTACGCTATAGGTCCCATACCATAACGACTCGCACTTGTGATAGAAAATAGTATGTGCAACTCGTTGGGAAAAGTTGCCATAGCGCCACTTGGGCGCTTTCCGCGTGGCGCTATTGGCAACTTTTCCTCACTCGTTACACAATGTACATACTATTAGGTGATTACACAAAACGTAGTAGATAACTTAAAAACTAGAAGAGATAGGTATAGGAACCCTGAATCGTTCGAAAGAGAATAAAATTGTGTATCAGAATATAGAAAAACATACAGGGTGTTCCTTTTACAAAAACCGACTTATGAAGGTTTGAAGTGAACTAAACTCGGCATTAAATTTCTATCACCTTGTATGCAATTAAGCTACTTTGAAAGTATGGATGGGAAGCTTAGGGGTCTAACTATCCTCCCTATAAATATTGTTGCTTATCTTTCTTATCATAAAATATACATGGTTTGAAGCTAGTCACTGTTTCTCTCCATTTTTTTGAAAAAAATTAAATATCTCGAAAACGGTTAATTTTAGGAATAGGGAAACTTCATAAAAGTCCACCTAAAATAACACGTAGAATCCAAAATTGCAATAATATATAGGGTGTTCCATTTAAAATAATGATGGCGATTTCCGGTATAACCGGAAGTGGTACGTGGACGCCATTATTTTAGTTGAGAAAACCCGAAAACCCAATCTCCCAAATTTTCAAAATTCAAATCGATGTAGTCTGAAATAATTCTAATGGGCTGTCACCGTGAGACACCCTGTAGTTAATGCATAAATTCATCCATATTTCAAATATATATCAAAATCCTTCAAGAGGAACCTCCATGGCACAGTACCCGCAAAAATAATAGGAATCCAACAACACAACGTAGCGCAAGTCTCGTTCAAATAAAAAGAATTCACTCCAATTTTCAACGATGTTTCAAATAATCTAGTCTTTCGAAAATTCTCTAGCCACGATGAAGAAGCCCTAAACTATATTGGACCATGCAGCAGGCTAACCGCGCGCCATTATTCTATGGCTAGAAATTGGCCTCAATGATTTGGGATCGAGGGGGATTATCCCTCTTTATCCTGCCTCATCTCGTGTAGGCCTGGACAGCCTTCGTAGGTGGGCCCCATCCGTCGTCTACCCCGACCGCAAATGCGGCCGGTGTAGGCGCTTTGTGGGACCTCCTTTTGTCCTGGCTGGGCCCCGCCGGCTAGGGCCCTTTCTTCTGGCGCTCTTCTTGCTTCGCCGGCTCGTCTGTGTAAACCCCGGGGGTAGTGTCATGTTTATG